CCCTGCCTCCTGCTGGCCTCATTTCTGGCTGATGATTGCTTTATTACTGTTTTCAGTCGGATATAATTCCAGCATTTTCCATAATCTCGATCTTTTCATTGATACTAGATCTTTATACAAAGACTCTGTATATAGGATGATTAGACACCCACCAGCACACATCCCCAGGCAATTAGAACATTTGAGATGCAGCTCAGCAATTCACATCCCTCATTTATTACTTTGGAAAGTGTTTTTGTGATTTTTGTGTGTGTGTGTGGGGGGGGAATGTGTTTACAAAACCAACAAACAATTCTCATTTCGAGTTGCAAAACACGAAGCCATTTTGAACGGAGACAGATGGTGGTTCAATGAAGTTTAATTAAAGAATGAGCGCTTTGAAGCAAATCGCTTTACATTCTTGAGCGCTCGCATAAACAGCATCTGGAAGCTTCTGCAGACAAATACCCAGGAAGGTGTTGGGGGTGGGGGGGTTGGATCTGGGAGAGCAAGAAGAAAGGGGCTGTGGGGCTGACCCTGATGGGCCACAGCTCCTAAAGTTCAGGAAGCAGGAAGTAGGGCGGGGGTGGGTGGGACATGAGACCAGAACGCGGGGGTGGGGGTGGGACACGGGGGCAGGAGGGGTTTGGGGATGTGGGGGGGCGGAGCGGGGATAAACGGACTGACCGTCAGGACAGACAGGCAAATTCGTAGATGAAACCAGGCGTGTAGACACACCTCTAATCCCAGCAATCAGGAGGCAGAAGCAGGTAGATCTCTGAGTTTGAGTGAATTCCAGGACAGCTAGGCCTCCACAGAGAAACGCTGTCTGGGGGGGGGTACTTCAAGGCATCCCCTAACCCTAACATATTGAATTTGAGGCCAGCCTGGGTAATCCAGGACCCAGTCTCAAAGAACAAAAGGCTTTGCTATGGAGGGGCAACCTTTTGAGACAGGGTTCCTCTGTGTAGCCTTGGTTCTTCTGTGTAGCCATGGTTGTCCTGATCTTAGATCAGGCTGGCCTCGAACTCACAGAGATCCACCTGCCTCTGCCTCCCAAGTGCTGGGATCAAAGGTGTGCACCACCACCGCCTGGCATGTTTTCTTGTTTTTGTTTTTTAATGTTGGGTTTTTGCCCTGAGACAGGCTCTCATGTAGCCCAAGCTGGTCCCCCACGCCCGAGCCCCCTGCTTTCCCCAGTATTGGAGTTATAGGCATGCTCTACCTGAGTAAGGTTCTCGCAGGCCCTGCTTGAGACAGGGTCCCCGCGGCGCAGGCCCACGGAACTGCAGGGATCTGAGGACCGAGGGGCAGCTTTGTATAGCTCTGGGTTTCCCAGCGCCGGCCCCACCCACAGGCTCCAACCACAGGGCTCTGATCTGGTTGCCTTGGGTCATGGTGGGGGCGGGTCTAGACCACAGACAGGCGCCAGTGGCTGCTCCCGGTAAAAGGGCGCCAGGTACCCAAGGCCCTAACTAGACCAAAAAGCCAGGTTCTAGCCATGGATAAAGAGTGGTTGTGAGGCCCCACTGGAAGAATGAGGGGGGGGGAGAGGAAGGGAGTGCTGGAATATTACATCAGGAAGTTAGCTCTTAATATATAACAGGGAGAAAATTCCTGGGAACTTTCTCCCCGTCCCTCCCACCCGTTTTGAAATGTGGGGGATGAGACCGGGCTTTGGTTACGTGTTCTATAGGTGCCCTACCACTGAGCTATGCCCGCAGCCCCTCACGGAGGTGGGGTGAGGTTGTGGAATGGCTGGGTGGAGGCAGCCCTGCTCTGGGGATCTGTTTACTGAGACAGGGTCTCACTAAGTAGCCTTGGCTGGCCTCAAACTCATTCTGTAGCTCAGCCCGGCCTCAGACGGAGACCTTGCCTGCTGCTGCCTCTGGGGTTGATCTAAGGGTTAATTACATTAAAAAAACATTTTTTTTTTTTTTTATTACTCTAAAGTTTGTGTGTGTGTGTGGACACAGTACAGGCATTCATCTCCGGGGCTGGAGTTTTGGACAGCTGTGAGCCACTGGGCATGGGTGCTGGGAATTAAGCTTGCCACCTCTATAATAGCATTCCCAATGGCTGGGCCATCTGGCCAGCCCTAGGTTTTTGTTTTTTCCAGTACAAGGTTTCTCTGTATAGCCCTGGCTGTCCTGGAACTCACTCTGTAGACCAGGCTGGCCGAAAACTCACAGAGATCCACTTGCCTCCCAAGTACTGGTTGCCTGTTCTTCCAAAGGTCCTGAGTTCAATTCCCGGCAATCACATGGTGGCCCACAACCATCTATAGTGAGATCTGGTGCACAGGCACATGTAGGCAGAATGCTGTGTAAATAAATTAATTTTTGAAAAGGTGTGTGGCACCATCACACACCTTTGTTTTTTGTTTTGAGAAAGGGTCTTATGTAGTCCAGGCTAGCCTCCCAGTTTGCTATGTAAAGGAGAATGACATTGAACCGATCCTCTTGCCTCCTTTCCCAAATGCTGTGACAGCTGCGCCCTGTCACATTTGTTATAGTTTCTGTGTGTGTGTGTGTGTGTGTGTGTGTTTCCTTCCTATGGTTAAACTGCCCTTGTGTATATATATTGAGAACTGAAACCAGAACCATGGACTCCTTTTTTTTTTTTTCCTAATGATTTATTTATATTTTTCTGTGCATTGCATGAATGTTTGTGTGAAGCTGTCAGATCCCCCGGAACTGGAATTAGACAGTTGTGAGCTGCCACTTGGGTGCTGGGAGTTGAACGTAGGTCCTCTGAAAGAACAGCTGACGCTTTTAACCTCTGAGCCCTCTCTCCAGCTCCTCAATTTTGTATTTTGAGATAGGGTCTCATAATAAACTCATCAGGCTTTAAATAGCTGGATTATAAGTCCACAACAGGGCCAGCCATCTCCAATGTGAAGAGGTAGTTTCCGTAAAAAGGATGGCGGCTGGCTCATGATGGAGCCCTGACCTTGAAGAGAAAGGCTGAGTGTAGTGGTGAATACCTGCACCCCAGTGTTTGTAACGGGGACACAGGAAGACCTCAAGGTCAAGGTAATCCTCAGTTACATACAGAGTTGAGGCCAGCTTGGGCCCCAAGAGACCCTGTCATACCTCCTTCCCCTCAAAGAAAAAAAAAAGTAGAGTTGCCCAACAGAGAAGAGAATGAGTATCCTGGTGTGGTGGCCCCTCCTCCTCCATCTAGGAGATGTGGAATAGAATGCCGACTAGTAGCTGCTACGTGTGGTCGTGGTTGGGTGCCAGTAGAGAGAGACAGTGGACAAGGGTGTGCCAACTCCGTGGCTTCTTACATCTTTCCAGGAGGAATCGGACCCAGATGTCTGGAGTGGGGCCTCTCCCAGCTGGGATGCAGAGCCATCCTGCAGGCCTGAGGAAAATATCTGGACTGGTCTGTCCTGTGTCAAGCAGGAGACCCATTCTGGCTGGAGCATTAGGCCCTGGGGCCATCCTGTTTTCCAGTGAGCACCCTGAAATGTTCAGATGGGACAGAAAGACAGGGACCGTGGCAGACACACAGGAAGAGAAAGCCTTCCTGTGGCTGGGGTGGGGTGTGCATGTCTGTTTGAAAGTTCTGGCAGAGGCTGAGTCAAAAATTCCAGTATATTCAATATTTACTGCTGCGGACATAGAGATGATATGTATTTCTAGAGCATGTTCTTTTCTTTTGAGACAGTTTTTCTTTAACATATGGTTTCATAATGGAGCACACCTTTAATCCCATCACTTGGGAGACAGAGGCAGGTGGACCTCTGGGATCAAGGCCAGCCTGGTCAACCGAGTGAGGATGAGGAGGAAGAAGGAAGGAAAAAGAAGGAACATGGGGCTTCATGTAGAACAGGATGGCCTTGAACCTCTTTATGGTGTGTGTTTATGGTGTATGTATTTGAATGTGTAGCACACGTGTGCAGATGTGCTTGGACATGTATGTTTGGAGACCAGCGGTCAACACTGGGTGTCTGTCTCAATCCTTTCATGACATATGTATAGATATTTATTTACATAAATATATGTTTAAAAATCACATTTAGTGTGGTGCTGGCGGTGGCACACTCGGGAGGCAGAGGCAGGTGGACCTCCGTGAATTCAAAGGCTTCATCAAGACCACCCCTCCCATCACACTCAGTGTGTGTTCTGACATGACAACATGTGAGGTCAGAGGGGAGTGTATGAGGCAGTATTCCCCTTTCCTCATGTGGTCCCTGGGGCTGAACTCTGGGTGTCAGCCTTTGCGGCAAGAGCCTTCACCCACTAAGCTATCCCTTTTCATCTTACTTTTCGAGGCAGGATCCTCGCTGAACCCGGAGCTCACTAATTCACTTAGGCTAGCAGGCCAGCAAGTACGGGAACTGTCCTGCTTCTTTTTAAAATAAACAAAAGATTTATTCATTTATTCATCCGTCCATTCGTTCATTTTGTGTATGAGTGTCCTATTTACACCTGCATGCCAGAAGAGGGCATCAGATCGCATTTTAGATGGCTGTGAGCCACCATGTGGGTGCTGGGAATTGAACTCTGGAAGAGCAACCGGTGCTCTGAACCTCTGAACTATCTCTCCAGTGCAGTTGCCCTGGTTCTAACCTCCCATTGCTGGGGTTAAAGGCCTATACCGATGCAGTCACAGCTTTTTTACATGGATATTGGAATCAGAGGTCAGATCAGCATGTTTGAAGGAAAGGTGTTTTCCTCAGTCACCTCCTCAGTCACCTCCTCAGCCGCAAACGGGGAGCTCCCCATCCTCCTGCCTCCACTGGGATAACAGGTTTGCACTGAAGTCCCAGGGCCGGGGTGGAATGAGTGACTTTGTGCAAGGAAGACAAGCTGTGTGGCCTCAGATCCTTGGCGGTAGAGAAGACAACTTCCGTCCCTGACACCACGGCCCAGCACTCAGGAGCACGAGACTTACAGACATGGAGTCAGGGGCACCTGAGCTGGTGTGCCAACTCAGTCTGCAGGTGAGGCCACACTAACAAAAGAATACACATAACCAGAAAAAATAAATAAAGGTGACACTTGTTTCTTTTTTTTTTTCTTTTTACTTATTTAAAAAGGCCTTGGCGGCAGGAATATAGTGTAAAAATCATTGGAAAAACTAAAAGGCATCGATACATATCCGAATATACTTTGTACATAAATTACATTTCCTTTAAGTCTTTCTGAGGTGAGGTCCTGATTCGGCTCTGAGGTCTAGTAATCAAGGGGGCCCGGAAGCTGCACGTTTAGTCCGGAATAGTCCACCATGTACACTGGCCACTGCTAGAGAGAGGGGACAGAGGGACCAGGTTAGGACTCCAGGTGTCATGGAAGGACTTCCAGAACAGTCAGCGTGCTTTCTTTGAGGGTGAACTCAAACGTCACTTATGAAGCCCCTGAGAGGACAGGAGGGCTCGCCCAGGTTGCTCAGGAGAGCCTGGTGACTGTCCCCACCAGGGGCTCAGCATGGAGAGTAGACACCAGCGAAGGCTGAGTCGGCAGCGGTAGTAAACTCCAAACACCCAGCTTCACCCCAGAGGTACCGTCCCACCTCTCAGGGTGAAAGGAGGGAGCTATCAACGATACAAACAAAGGCAAGGGAAAAATGAAAAGTCTGGGCTTTCGTGAGTATCCAGAGAGGGTTGGAGGGGCACAGCAAGCATCTGGAAATCCTAAAACCGGTCTTTTTTGCTTTCAATAGTTTTTTGTTGAGAGTCTCAGCTAACCCAGGCAAGCCTCAAACTTCCCACGTAGTTGAGGCTGACTTGAACTTCTGGTCCTCCAGCCTTTCCCTCCAGTGTGGGGATTACAGGTGTGTGCCACGAGGTCCAGTTTATGGGGAATATAACCCAAGGCTCCATGCAGGTAAGGCAAGCACCCTGCGCACTGAGCCACACTCCCAGTACCCGGTTTGGCATAGCCCCAGCTGGCCTAGAATTTCCGACTCTCCTTCTCTCCACTACTGGGACTAAAGGCATAGCCGCCATACCCGGTTCTTTATAGGAGTTTTCCTCTGAAACAGGAAAGGGCCAAACTCAGCAAGGCGGCTTTCTGTCATGTGACCATCTACCCTCTGGCTCCTGCTGTCCTTATTTACACACATGGCTGGTGACAACCACATTCCAAGCACTGCGCTGGCTGCACAGACCCTCAGTTTATCTTGTGGGCAAAACAGGTGGATGCATCTGCGCCTGTGCGTGCGCCTGCGTGGTTGGCTGAGTCCCTCTCAGAGCCCAGTGCCTCCCAGTTGCTGGAGGTGTGGGTGGCCCTGCCCGAGGGAGGGCCAAAGGCCACAAAGAATTAGGGTGAAGTTCGGATCTGCGTGACTTTACCACGAGGGAGATCTGGTTGGTGGATGCCACAGACTCTGGGTTAGAGGATGAGGATGAAGAGGAGGAGGAAGAGGAGGAGACCGAGTTGCCTTCAGAGACCCGCTTTCTCTTGCGCTTGGGAATGTTGTCTTTGGCTGGTGGAAGAAACAGTTGCTGAGGCCGGATGGCGGGGGCCGTCCTGTGTCGGCCTCCTGAACTCCCTGGAGAAAGCCCCTGCGTTTAGATTCTTAGTGTTTTACTTGTTTTGATGTCCTGGGAATAGAACCCAGGGTTTCCTGTATGTTGAGCCCCACCCCGAGCCCCTCATGAACGATCTCCCCCCGCCCCTTGCAACTAGAGGATTCTAGGCAGGTGCTCTACCACTCAGCCATGCCCCAGGCGGCACGCCCCAGGCCCTCGCCGAGGGATTGTAGGCAGGTGCCCCGCCCACCTCTGAGCTACAGCTATATTCTTTCAAAGCCCTAACTTGGCATCCTAGGCTCAGTGGCTCTCCCTACTCTCTAACTGGCTAAGGCTGACTTGTCTCGCTTTAGTCCCTAAGCATGTCTAAGGTCTCACTTCTGGCTCCTAGTCACCTATCCGTCTCGCTGATAAAATACTCCTCCCCCACCTCAGCAGCCTCAGTACATGGCTCTAGCTGTCTCCACAACCTCACTCGGATCAGTAAACCTTCACTATGGCTGTCTACCCCACACCTTTAAAAGCCCTCAGACCTGTTTTTCTACACACTTCCTACGAAGGTATTTCAGTTTAATTTGTTGAGACAGGGTCTCATGGCGCCTAGGCTGGCCTCCAAGTAGCTGAAGCTGGCCCTGACTCCTGAATCTCATTCCTCTGCTCCGCGGTGCGAGGATTAGAGGCACGTGCGGCTATACCTGGTTTACAAGAGGAATCATGGGAGGCTTTTGTGTGTACTCTCCCAACCGATCCACACCCAGCTTCACCTACTTTTCAAAGGAACATCTATGTATGTGTATGTATGTGGCACATGAATGGAGGCCAGAGGACCACGTGCAGGAGGAGTTAGCTCCCTCCCTCGTGTGGGTCCTAGGGGCTGAGGTTATCGGGGTTAGCAGCAAGCACCTTCATCCACTGGGCCACCCAAAGTCATGCCTACCTGTGCTTTATTTTTATTTTTATTTTTGAAGGCAATACACTAGTCCCCATGAGGCAGAAGGCTGGCCTCTCCTGCCTCTGACTCACCTGGCACCTTGGAGTCGTTGCAGACTTCCGAAAAAGGTCTGAAAAGAGAGAAGCAAGGCCTCAGTTAGCAGCTTTCCCCTCCTCGCCTGCCCCTTGGATATGGCCACCTGACTCTCCACAGCTGAGATGCAGCTGCTGTGGCTACAGCCAGGTCAGTTCAAGCTAGAGTTTCACATCCTAAGTGTGGCTCAGTGGTCCATGTGGTAAGTATGCAGTTCCCAAGCTGGCACACTGTCGTGATTGGCAGACCTTTAGGAGGTGGGGCCTAGGGGGAGGGGGAGGTCAGTGTGGCATGTCCTCAGTGGACGCTGGCACCATGGCTTCCTTTTGTCTCTCTCTGCATCCTGGCTCTAGGGGGAGGGAGAGGTCAGTGCGGCATGTCCTCAGTGGACGCCGGCACCATGGCTTCCGTTTCTCTCTCTCTGCATCCTGGCTCTCAGAGGTGAGCGTCTCCTTCCACCATGCATATATAGGCTCCCAACAAAACCAGGCTCAAGTGACCAGGGCACAAAAATTCTAAAACTCTTTTTCTTTAGAGACAGGGTCTTGCTACGTAGCCGAGGCTAATCCTTGCTCCTGCTTCTGCCTCTCCATTACTGGAATTATACAAATACATTAGCTCATGCCAATAATCGCAGCACGGAGGAGGTGGAGGCAGGGAGACTGGCAGCTCGAGGTCAGCCTCCGCTACACGTATGGTCCAGTACAGCCTGGGCTACATGAGACTCAAAACAACAACAAAATCTGGAGTTGATCTTTTGATTCAGGATTCTCCCTCTTCGACAGACTCTGCCTGACCCTGATGATCTGTGTCGTGGTTAGGGCGGCACCCTCTCCCACAGCCCTTGTCCTGCTCTCCACCCCGTAGCACTCACTGAAGCTGGTTGATGATAACCATCCGCACATGCTCCCTGGCCTTCAGGATCTTCTCCAGCCGATGGATGTCATAGGTGTTGGGGTTCCGGAAGGGGATGTCGTCCGGGAGGCCTTTCACCTCCACGGCATCTGGGCTGTCCCGGATCAGTTTATAAGGGACCAACACAGGCCGATTCAGTCCCAGGGCCTCGCCTGGAGAGCACAGGTCAGAATTACAGAAAGATGGCCCCGAATCAACATGTGAAACTCCAGGAAAGGATCATGATTCTGGCAGCCCAACTCAGCAGCCAGCCCAGGGACAGCAACAACCGCCCCCCCCCCCAACCCCCGAACGTTACGATAGTTAATCCTGATCAACAGATTCTAGAATTACCCACAAGACACATGCCTGGGTGTATCTGTGAGGAAGTTTCTAGACTGAGCTAACTGACATGGACCCACTCTAAGTGTGGGTGGCACTATCTCACCGGCTGGGGTCCAGAACTGAATAAAATGGACAAAGTGAGCTGGGTACCAGCATTCACCTCCCTGCCTCTTGACCGTGGATGTGATGGGACCAGCAGCCTCATGCTCCTGCCACCATGCCTTCCCTGCCACGACGGACTGTGTACCCTCAGACTGCGAGCCACAACAGCCCCTTCCTTCCTTCCTTCAGTTGGTACTTTGTTACAGCAATAGGAAAAAGTACCTAACACACACACACACACACACACACACACACACACACACACACCATCAGCCACTGTAGTCAGGCAAGCTGCCCTACAGACCCACCCCGGCCACTGGGGAGCACTGACCGTATTTCTCATTGAAGAGCTCCTTCACCTGCTCTCGGAGGATCACCTTCTCCCCGAGTCTGTTGGCATCATCCTCATCTGCAGGGAAACAATCGGACTACAGAGCTGCAACATGCTTCTCCCGGTGGCCCTGGCCTGCTGGGCAGCCGCTCTAGATCCTGCCTTCTTCACTGTAACTGCCTCGCTATCATAAGCATATATTCATCTACACATCCATCCATCCATCCGCCCACCTACTCATCTTTCCACCCACACCACAGGCATAGAGCACCCCAGAGGAGCCAACAGTGTGGAGAAAATCAGCCATAGCCCCAGATCAAATGTAGCGGAGCGCTCGGTGACATGAGGCACCAGCCAGGACTGCCTCCTTTTTTTATTTTGTTTTCACTTCTCTCTTTTTCTTTTTGGCTTTATGAGACAGGGTTTCTCTGTGTAGCCTTCTGGCTCTCCTGATCTCCCTTTGCCAGGCTGGCCTTGAACTCTGCCTGCCTCTGCCTCCTGAGTGCTGGGATTAAAGGCGTGCACCACCGGCCTTGTTTTCATTTTTCTAAGACAGGGTTTTACACTGTTGCCCTTTTGTGGTTCATTTGAGACAGTGTATTCCGCTTTAGCCTCCCCAGGACTGGGATTAGACTCAAAGCTTGGTTTATCCTGGTTTTGGTCTCTGCTCTGAGGGGCCATCTACCTTAGCCATTGTCATCTTACTCTTTCAAATCCACTGCATTAGCCTGAAGATTAACTGTGTCAGTCGCTAGGAATCCATAAGGAATGATACATGCATAAACACACACGGGCCAGGTACATGAAAGCACAGCCAGATATCTGCACAGCATCAACACACGGCGTGGCAGCTGTGCTAGGGCTGCCCATCGCCCATCTCGGCGGGAAGTTCGAGGGCCTTGAATGGCCTTGGTCTTCCCCTAGCTGGGTGGAATGGGCTGCCTCCCGCAGGACGCAGGGGCCACTCTTGGGAGTATGTGATGTGGGGAACAAAACCCCACACCCCCTCTTCTGCTCACAGTTGCACGCTACCTCCCTTTTCCGGATAACAAGATTAAAAGCAAGAAGAGCCCCCACCCAGTTCAAGTTCACTGGGGTTTTTGTTTTTCCAGCTGGGCCTCAATTTCATGATCCTCCTGCCTCAGCTTTCTTGGAAGGTTGTTTTTAATTAACTCATTTTGTTTGTGTGTTTGTATGTACATATGCATGCATGTGGACCATGGCAGGAATGTGGAGGCCAAAAAGCAACTTGTTGGGTTTTTTTTTTGTGTGTGTGTGTTTTAAAGATTTTATTTATTTACGTATATGAAGGCTCTATCTACATGCACACCTGCATTCCAAAAGGGGCATCAGAGGGTTGGGAGCCACCATGTATGTGGTTGCTGGGAATTGAACTCAGGACTTCGGGAAGAGCAGACAGTGTTCTTAACCACTAGGCCATCTCTCCATCTCTCCTTGTCAGTTTCTGAAGCAGAGGCTCACCATGTGACTCAAGCGTTCCCTAACAGCTGCTCTGGACCGCTCAGAGACCTGCCTGCCTCTGCCTCCCGAGCACTGAATGAAATGCATGAAAGCATGCTCGCCTCGGAGGAGGACCTGTAGGTGTCTGTGTCCTCATACACCAAGTGGGTCCCAGGGACTGAACTCAGGTTGCCAGGCTTGGGTCCTGAGCCTTTAGCTGAGTCAAGGCCAGGGTGTTATCTTTCTTTTTGTCTCCACCTCTCCCCCCTTTCCTTGTTCTTTCTTTCTTCCTTCACTTTGTCTTGTTTGCTTTGAGCCAGGGTCTCAAGTAGCTCACTACTTGAGTCTCAAATTCAGTATATAACCAAAGGTGATCGCTAAAGATGGCTTGATCTTCTTGCCTGGACTCCCGAGTGCTGGGGAGTGCAGACACGTGCCACCATGCTTTTTAGTTCACAAGCCGATGCACTAGCCCACTCCTAAGTTGCTTAGCAACCTGCGATGGCATCACCTGCCTACATCAGGTGTACACTCAAGCTGTGCACCAGAAATAAAGGACTGGCCTATCACTGCAGGCTCTTCAGTGTCTCGGTTTTTCTTGCCTTCCCTGCTCTCTCTCTCTCTGGGGGTGTGTGGTGGTGGTGCCCCATCCCTCTTTCTCTTCTCCCAACGCTCTCCCACTGTCTCCACCTCCATATAATAAATCTCTTCCTAACACATCTGTTGAGTGCGTGGTATTTTTAAATAATTGTTACAATGCCTAGCTTGTAATTTGTTCAAACAGTGGCACACACAGAGATCTGCGCCTCTGGGACTCTTCTGGGTTTCCAGTCTCCTTGATCCGGGGGTTTTTCCAGCTGTGTTTTGTCTCTCTCCCCAACTCCCAATTGTCCCATCATCTAACCTCTCGTCAGCCTACTGCAAAGACCAGCGTATCCAGCAAGCACCCACCCGGCTCCACCCGCACCCTGCCCTTACTCTTCTAATGTGGCTCAGAGACAAATAACGTGGCCACTCCGTGCTGATGTCACACCAACTCAGATGAAAGGGCTGCTGCTCTTACCAACTTGGTTGGTCTTCAGAAGTTAGTGTGTGTATTCATGTCTTTGCACCTGCAAGGTCCTTTCTCAGAAAACTTTTTTTGAGAGTCTCTCATTTGGAACTGGTCAAGCAGGCTAGCCTGGCTGGCTAGCAAGCCCCAGGGAGCCACTTGTTTCCCTCTGCTGCTCCAGAGCTGGGATTAAAAATGGATGCCGCTCGACATGGCCTTTTCTCTGTAAGTTTCCTGAACTGCTGAATGAGTCATCCCCAAGTTCTTCCGCTGCCTACATTTACACAAGGTTTCTGGAATCTTTTTCCGTTGTTTTTGTCTTGTTTTCCGTTTTTTTCAAGACAGGATTTTTCTGTGTAACCCTGGTTGTCCTGGACTTGCTCTGTAGACCAGGCCGGACTCAAACTCACACTGATCTGCCTGCCTCTGCTTCCCAGAGTGCTGGGATTCCAGGCATGCACCACCACGGCCGGCTGAGTTTCTGGAGTCTTATGGAAAAGTCTGAAGCTCCCTCAGCCTTGTGGAGTTGCAGAGCTTCTTATTTACCAACCCAAAGACATGAAAGTTCCTTTCCAAACACGTGTGGGGTGCAGGACTTGAGATCTTTAACCATTCTAGGGGCAGGATGGGTCACAGTGGTTCTGGCTGAATCTTCAAAGACTAAGAAATGGCCCGGGTCTCCCAAACGCCCTGGGCCTCCATAGCTCCTCTTGGAATAACGGAGGAAGCATGGGGCAGATCTGAGCGCAGCAGCAGCAGGGCACCTACCCACAGAGGCCTCCCTGCCCCACCCTGGCAGAGGCCAGTGCTTCCGAGGAGACAGAATGGCAGTCATTACTGGCGCCCTGTTAATAGAGAGCAGCATAGAGCAGGAGTGTCTGGTGCTGGAATTTCAGCATCTTTAGATACTGAGAAAAGACAGTATCATTTTGAGTCCTTAAGACCAAGACAGAGAAGGAAGGGTGGAGAACAAGGAAGGCAGAGACTTAGAGGACTGGGGCCAGGAAAATATCCCTCAAGCCTTGGGGAAGCCAGAAATCCCCGAGAAAAAAAGGCCTTAAGACAGTAAGTCAACCTACCTAAAATTGTAGACCGTAAGGTGGCTTCTCCAAGACCAGAGACAGTAAGTTAACTTATCCAACATCACAGAGTAAGCTAACTGATCTACGATCACACAGTGAGCTAACTCATCAAGGATTACAGAGTCAATGAGCTTATCTAAGATCCCAGGCGGTAAGTTAACTTATCCAAAATCAAAGATCATAGTTATCCAACACACAGCTCAGATGTGGCAAGCTTCGTCCCTAAAGGGGAAAAAGGGACTGCCCCTGCTCCTGTAGCGTCCCTCCCTTGGTCCCTGCTTGTCAGATCAACCCCAGTCTGGTTCCCAGGCTTGTGTCAGGCTCCCTTCTCCACGGAGCCCTCCTTACTTGTGAGGTGGCGTAGACTGAGAGAGGCTTAGCATCAGCAGCAGGCCTTCCCCTCAGCTGTGCATTTCAAACTGGGCCTCAGACAATACCTCAGAAACGGGGATATGAACTTTCCTCAGTGATAAATCCATGTTATAAAAGATTTATCAATAAACTTGCTTAGCAAATATTAAGTTGGCCAGGTGGTGGTGGCGTACACCTTTAATCCCAGCACTCGGGAGGCAGAGGCAGGTGGATCCATAAGTCTGAGGCCAGCCTGGTCTACAGAGCGAGTTCCAGGACAGCCAGAGCTACACAGAGAAACCCTATCTTAAAAAAAACAAAATAAAACAAAACTAAGTGAAACAAAGAAACAAACAAAAAAGAAGAGAAAAAGTCCTAAAGTAGCACTGGCTCTGCCAGGAAGCTCCAGGAGGACCCTGGCTGGCAGCTGCTAAGGAACATCATTCCTCCAGCCAGGCAGGGTGACCTTGGTTACCAGCTACCGTGGTCTGGCTTGAAATAGGTGTGACAATATTTTGACACTGCAAACCTCTCCATTTGTTAAAAAATGACTAACACTTGCAGTTTCTGTCTCCATGAAACTCATTTAATTGCTCAAAACTTGAGGGGGGTGGGAACCTGAAAGCAATTTACAGATGAAAGCAACGTGATAGCTTAAACCCACAGAAAGCCACAAGAGATTTCTGTTCCGGGCTGGTTTCTCTTTGGGAACATGAAATGATTAAAGAGTTTTAATTTCCCCCCTCTTATTCTCTGAGTGCTTGGAGTAAATGCCCACCGAGGTGGGGCTTAATCTGCCCTAATAATTTCTCGTAATTGAACTTGAACTGGGAAGTCCACTGTGGTGTGTCCTAGATTAGCCTGGGACTGCTGGGAATTTGGCTTTCGCTCCTCGGAGTGCAGAGGTTTCCGGGCTGCAGAGACCCAGCACAAAGGTTGGCCAGGCCTACATCTGCAAGGTCTAATCCAGGCTGCAGAGTTAGCACTTCTGAGCCCCCGAGAGCCACCTGGCCTCGGTAGTGAGAAGGCAACCCTGTTCCTGTTTTATAGATAAGGGCCCCAGTGCTCTGCCTGTGGGGACCCCAGTGCTTCCCATCTTCCCTGACAGCGCACCCTGGGGCCAGAGGACACAACGCTGCTGCTGAACGACGACGATGATGGTGTGCGTGCATGCACATGCAAGCATGCCAAGTGTCTGCGGGTGCCTGTGGCGGCCACAAGTGGGCATCGGGCCCTCAGGCACTGGAGTTCTGGGCCACCTGATACTGTTGCTAAAAGCTGACCTCAGGTCCTCTGGAAAAGCAGCAAACACTCTCAACCTCTGAGCCATCCCTCAAGTCCCTATTATTATTCGGGTTTTGAGACAAGGCCTCTTGTAGTCCAGGCTAGCCTCAAACTTACTATGTAACTGAAGCTGGCCTTGAACTCCTCCCAGGTGCTGGGGCCACGGACCACCCCACCCTGCAGAAGAAGTGCCTGGCTGTTTGGAAGGTCATAACTGGGCAGCAAAGGGAAGTGGGTTCTGTCAAGTATGTGGGAACAGCTCTTCCCATCCTCCCTTGCAGCAAACCCTGTAAGAATATTCTCTGTGGTAAGTGACTGACTACCTCACCTGAGCTTGAATGTCTCTGGTGACAGGGAATTCACTACTCCCAAAGCTCTGGCTTTCCCCTCTACCCCCCTAACCACTCAGAATTCTGCAGACACAGACCTTTAGGCAAGTGTCACCTTCATTATCCATCTTTTACACCACCCTCCTCATCAGCCACCCCATCCCATTCTAGATCCTCCCCCTAGCCTTGGCCCTCCTGGACTCAGGAACTCACTCTGTAGACCAGGCTGGCCTCGAGCTCGGAGATCCACCTGCCTCTGCATCCGAGAGTGCTGGGATTACAGGCCTGTCCACCTATTCTAGATCTCACTTCCTCTCTCTCTGGGCCCACCCCCTGGGCTCAGGCCTCTGTAGACCTTCCTGTCCTTGGCTCTAGTGTTATCTTCTGTAGTCCACCTGCCCCCATGGAAGCTGCTCACCATAGTTACTACCAGAGAAGTCAATTCTGACGTCATTTGGAAAACAGAACCCTAGTGCCTGAAAATAAAACCCAAACCACACCAGACCTGGTGGCATGAACCCGTAATTCCAGTTACCTGGGAGGAAGAAGAGAAGGATTGCAGATTCAAGGCTAGCCTGGGCTACATAGGTCAAACACAGGTGAGAGCTGGGTGGTGGTAGTGCACTTTTAATCCCAAGACTCAGGAGGCAGAGACAGGAAGATCTCTGTAAGTACACACACGTACACACACACACACACACACACACACACACACACACACACATGCCAAATATGCAGTATTTATTTTTTTTGAGACAGGGTTTCTCTGTGTAGCCTTGGCTGTCCTGGACTCACTTTGCAGTCCAGGCGGGTCTCAAACTCACAGAAATCCACCTGCCTCTGCCTCCATGAATGCTGGGGTTACAGGCCCAGCTGTAATTTTTTCCTTTGTTTTAAAGCCAGGCTGGAGAGATGGCTCAGAGGACCTGAGTTCAAGTTACCAGGACCTGTGTCAGGCAGCTCACAACTGGGAACTTCAGGTGACATCTTCTGGCCTCTGAAGGTGTTCCATTCACAAACACTTTTCTTTTCTTAAAAGTTAACTGTTGTAGCGTGAAAATGTAATTCTGTCACCGGAGAGGCAGAGATAGGCCAGCCTTAGCTTCAGGCCAATGAGAGATATTATCTTTAAAAAAACAAAAGAGCAGCTTTACAGGACCAACATCCAGGGTTGCTCTTTGACCTCTGCAGGCGTGTGTGTATGTGTGTGCACACACACATACACACACACCCTGAGAATTCTAAAGCCAGAGCCAGGTGGTGGTGGCGGCGGCACATGTCTTTAATCCCAGCACTCAGGAGACAGAGGCAGGCTGATCTCTTGAGTTTGAGGCCAGCCAGGTCTACAGAGCTAGTTCCAGGACATCTAGCTAGCACTACACAGAGAAACCGTGTCTGGGAAAACAAAACAAACAAACAAAAATCCTAAAACCAAAGAACAAAACCCATCAACCAAGTAAATACACCAGTTTCAAAGTGGGAGTTTAAGACTGTAGACAGGCCCCGTGTGATTGCAGCTAGTGTCAGGAAGGGGGTGATAAAGTGACACTCAGCAGGCTCAGAGTTTCAGCACAGTGGATGGGGGCAGGGAGGGAGTGGTGGTGGGGAGGGTGGTCACAACTTGGCTCCTGCAAAAGGTGGGGACGATCTCTCAGATCTCAGCCAGGTGAGTCAAATGCCGTGGCTCTGAGAGAGTTTCTTAAACTTACGTCTCCTCCTGTGAGAAGGTAATCAACCCCAGAGTGGGAGCATACAACTGTAATCTCAAGACTGGAGGCTGAGGCAGGAGGATCACAAATTTGAGGCCAGTCTGGGATACATACAAAGACTCTGCCCCCCCAAACAAGTGGGGTGTGGAAGGCAGGGAGAGCCTCGGGGCTGTGGGGATTGGCTGAGGTGAACTCACTGAGTTTCTACGGAGGCAGGAGGTCCAGCCACATTTCTCTGCTGCACCTCGCCTCCCCTCGCTCCCGGGGGACAGGAGCAGCACCACCCAGCAATACCATCAGCTCAGGTAGTCACTGGTTACCAGTCTGGAGCCAGGAGGCCTGCATTCACAAACTCAGGAGTTGCGGTGGAGGGGAGGAGCTTGTTAGGAAACCAGGGTCGGCCCCACAGAAGGGACCTCCTGGATCTCTTACTGGTAGACAGCCCTCTGTGCTCACAGGCCTGCCTGGCTGTCCTTCCTGAGGAAGTACTCATTCCGGCCCCAAACCCTCCAAGCTCTGGCTCAACCTCTGGCCTCACCCAGGGCTTTCTCAGTGGGCACAGGAGCATAGAGTCTACTCAGTGAGCTGCTGCAGAGGGTACACTAAGGCCAGAGTTTCTGTTTGTTTTGCATTAAAATCCTTTGAAGAAAGGGTCTTGGAGACTAGAGATAAAGCTAGAGATATAGGGGCTTGCCTAGCATGCAAGAGGCCATGGTTCCAGCCCCAGCAACACATAAGCCAGGTATGGTGAAGTACATACAAAATCTCTTTTTTTGGGGAGTTGGAGAGAGGGTTTCTCTGTGTGGCCTTGGCTGTCCTGGAACTCACAGAGATCCCCCTCCTTCTGGCTCCTGAGTGCTGGGATTAAAGGCATTTGATATGACATCCTGCTACATGTAATCTTAACAAGCTTGATTTAGCCATTGCCCAGCCCCTGACTAGGAGATTCTAGGCAGGTTTCTACCACTTGGACACACCCCAGCCTTTCAGTGGGGATTTCACAGAAGCTCTGTTTTTGGTTTGTTTTTTCAAGACAGGGTTTCTCTGTGTAGCCCTGGCTGTCCTGGAACTCACTCTGTAGACCAAGTAAACTTCAAACTCGGAGGTCCACCCAGGGCATCTGCAGCCTTTCCCCCTCAGTCTGAGGCAGACACACAGGGGGCTGGTGACACAGCAGGGCAGTACCCAGGTCCTGCTCCTGGGCTAGGCATTGCGCTCCCAGAACCGGGCATGAACCCCACCCCCAACGTCACATACCTCCCAAACCCACAGATGAACCACTTACCAGGCTTTGGGATGAGTCCTTGGAATGGCCTGGAAGGAAGCAGAAGAGGGGCTTCAGGGGGAGGCACTGGCGAGAAGACCAAGTACATGATGATACCAGCTTGCTAAGAAACTGCAAACAAACGCCCAGGGCCCTTTTCAGACATTAGCATTTAATGTTTGACTCTGAGAGCGGACTTCCCAGAACCCAGGACAGCCTTGAATTCCCTATGCTGTAGCCAAGGCTGACCCCAAACTTCTGATCCTCCTGCCTCTACCTCCTGAGTGCCGAGACTACAGGCGTACATCACTACCCCTGATTTAGGAGGTGCTGGGGCCAGAATTCTGGGCTTCGTGTGCGCCACACACTTTGGAAGCCAGCCAAGCCGCACTGTTTTGTTTTTGTTTGAGAAAGGGTCTCATTCTGCAGCATGCAGCCCGGGCTAACTTCAACTTATCACCATCCTGCATCCACTTCCTGAGTGCTGGGGTGAGAGGCATGTTTTGGGGTCTGTACCGTGTGTGCATGTGCACAGCGGCAGGTACTCTGGGTGCAAGCCTGACAGTGATTGGCTTCCGGTATCTTCCTCAGTCATTCTACCTTGCTTTGTTTTGAGACAGGGTTTCTCTGTGTAGTCCTGGCTGTTGTGGAACTCACTCTATAGATCATGCTGGTCTCCAACTCAGAGATCCACCTGTTTCTGCTTCCCAAGTGCCCGGATTAAAGGCTGCACCACCACCCAGCACCGTCTGGCTCGCTCGCTCCCTCTCTCCCGCCCCCTCTCAGTGGAAAGGTTTCTCAGGGAACATAAAACAAGCCACTTAGCTAGACTAGCTAGCCAGCTAGCCCCTGGCTCCCCCCGCCTCTCTTCCCATATGCCACCGCTGGGCTAACAGGTACATGCCAGCATGCCCCAATTTTTATATGGGTGCTGAGGTGCATCCAAATGCAGGCTTGCTCAGTAAGCACTGTCCCATGAAAGCGGCTCCCCAGCCCCAGAAGCCACATTCTAACAAGATGCCCAGGCCACCTGTGCAAAGGGTTTGCTTTCTCAGGGGGCTGGGTTCGGGGCTACTGCGGGTCGGAAGGATGCACGGTCAGCGTGTGGGGCCCCTGGACGATGTCTGGTCTGCCTCCCTCTCCAGTACCCCCACTGGAGGAACTTTTGGAACCAGCTCCTGATTGCAGCCAGTCTAATCTCGCCCCCACCCCACGACCCCCCTTTCCTCATCCGGAACCTGGTGACGGTGAACTTGATCTTGTCAGCCACAGAGAGGATCCTTTCCAGGTTCTGGGAGCCGAAGGTGCAGGGTTTGCGGAACGGGATCCCGGGAGGCAGGCCCTCGATGATCACCGAGCCCGGATTGCTTTTGATTCGCTTATAGGGTACCTGCACTGGGTATTTGATGCCCAAGGCTTCACCTGGATACAAGAAAGACAGCTGTGCCAGTCAGGAGCAGGCTGTGGCACCTCAGTACAGACACTCCTCTCCCAGGGGGCACAGGGCCCTTTGGGAGAGTGTGTGTGGGTAGATCTTGGAGATGAACGTGTGTACTGTTCAGGGAGTTTCTGGTGTGAAGCCATGCTGGGTGGGCCTCCACTGTGTGGTTCCAGGTGCTGGGTTACGGCAGCGGTTCCGGTTTCTCAGGCTCCCTCCTCCGCTTCCTGAGACAGGGCCTTATCATGTAGCCTTGACTAGCCTCAGAGCTACGCCAGCCTCTGCCTCCCCCGTGCTGGGATGGTGGGTGTTAGCCATCCTACCCAGTTCACGTGATGTCACTGAACCAAGGTTTCACACATGCTCGGCAACTAGTCTACCAACTGAGGCACACCCCAGCCTCTATTAAAAAAAAAGTTTAAGATTACATTTTATTTATTTGTGTGTGTGCACATTCCACGATGCATATGGTAGAGGCGAGAGTGCAGCCTGCAGTTGCTGGCTCTCTCCTGTCACTCTGTGGGTTCCAGGAATCAAACGCTGGTCAGGCCTGGCAGCAAAGACCCATACCCTGCAAGCCACCTCATCAGCTCGCCGCCACGCCCTCTATCCGAGTCCTGACAAAATCGTACTCTGTAGCTCATGCTAGCCGGAAACTCAAAGCAATCCTGCTGAGACTTCCCGAGAGACGAGGTTATAGGTGTGCACGGCCAACCACATCCCTCACTGTGTCCCCAGTCCCGGGCACACAGTCGATGCTCAAGAAATATAAAAGAGCTGGCGAGGCGACTCGGTGCACAAAGGAAACCCAGCAAATTGAATTTGACAGCCAGCATCCCCACGGTGGAAGGAAAGAAGCCACTCCCACAAATGTGACCACCATATTTATGGTGGGTACCATGCCCGTCCACACAATAAATATATTTCTTCTTAAAAAGCAAGAAAATACCTAAATACAGATCAACCTCTCTGCCGATATGAAGCTGACCACCGGCAGGAAGCTGCCCTCCCCCTCCCCCTGACCCTTGCCTGTAACTCACCATATTTCTTGTTAAACAGGTCTTGGACTTGTTCCCTAAGTGTGTTGGCGATGTCGATCCGTGAGAGTCTGGTGTCGTAATTTTCTGCAAAGCGAATACAATTACGGACAGAGGCTGGTACATTAAAAGGCACTTGATGACTTTTACAGGAAAATGATTTCCTAATTACAGGGAACTCCTTCTCTGGCAATTAGCAGATCTTTGGAGTGGGCCCCTCAGAGTCCTTCAGAACCAGTCTTCCTGAGACTCGTGTGTGTGTGTGTGTGTGTGTGTGTGTGTGTGTGTGTGTGTTTTCCATAGAAGGACTCACACTGTTTCGACAACAGCAATGAGAGGAAATTGAGTTAATTGTTGACATTTGAAAATCAACAAAACAATAAACAAGCCTGGAGGTGAGACACCAGGGAGGGGGGGGGTCTCTGTGCCTTCGGCCAGATGGGAGTGGGAGCAAGGGCTTCAAAGAGCTCACGGGAGACAGAGGGACAGAAGGGAGTGTCCACCCTACGAGGGGCTACTTATTATGTGGTGGTACAGAAGATGAAGCCCAGAGCCTTGCAGATGGCACAGAAATACTCCACCACTGAGCCACGCCCCAGCCCCTCACTGGGGGATTCTAGGCAGGTGCTCTACCACTGAGCCACACCCCCGGCCCTTCACCTTGGGTGGGGATTACAGGCAGATGCTCTAATACTGGCCCATGCTGCTATTCCCTCACAGGGTGGGTAGGCTCTAGGCAAGGGCTCTACCATTCTGAGTTACTGTTGATTAAGGACCACCATGCACCTTTGACCTCAGGGAGGTTACATCCTGTTCTGGCCTTAGAAGGGAAAAGGTATGGCTGTGTGGATGGCAGGGAGAGGAAATGGCCTCTGGTGAAATTCTCAGACTGCTCTGGGTCTGCCTTTAGGGGTCGGCACAGGGTGAGGTCCGATACACAACACAGGGCGGCATGTTCCAACAGCCTGGGAGGAGGGCGTGACAAAGGTGACTGGCAGCCAGTCTCAGGTTTTGGTTCCATCATTGGTCACTGCTGCCCTCTCAACTCCTCAGGAGTACGGCGACCATGAAGTCATCCCGGGACCCACACCGGCCACGCCCACTAGTTCTCTAAGCTGCACACACATAGCCTGTGTTTTGTTCTCAGTTACATCCCTATTGATAGCAGGGATGTTGGCTGGCCTCTCATGCTAAGGGGGCCAGGAGTCTCCTCTGAGGCCCGGTGGGCAGGCGCTCCTTTAACGTCGTCTTCCCCTGGCCACCGCTTGCTTTCCTGTCTGCCTTTCTGGTTCTCCGTGACCACCGTCTGCTCCTCCAATTTCACTGAATTCCAATTTCAGCCCAGCAGTAAGAACTGGGCTGACGAATGAGGAAGGGAGATGGCCACGCCCCAGATAGAACAGCAGCTCTGGAGTCCCCTTCCCGACAGCCGGGCGCTAACTCAGAGCTACCAGGCTACGGTCTGGCTCCGGGACCAAGTCGGGTGCCCTACAACCCACTGGCGGGGCCCAGCCTTCCACTTCCACTGCTGTCCCATCACCGCCCCGCCCCCAGCCACTCAAGGTCATGACCCTGGAATGCCTAAACTTATACGGGGCCTAAACTTACCTTGAAGTCCCTGTCTCTTCGGGGTCTCGTCCACAAGACGGTCCCAGGAGTCCCTCTCTGGGGGTGGGGTGGGGAGAGAAGGCAGGTGAGGAGGGAGCACCCGGGGTCTCAGGTGGCATCGAGGGGGCAAACCCGACAGGGGCAGTGGGGAAATGCCTAGGGTAGGGGATAGGACAGGGGCATCAGGAGGGGTATGGCAGAGACTCGGCACCCTCCCACACCCACCTGTGTCTCGCCCACGCCCCGGTACCTTGAGTGTCCACAACAGGTTCTTTGACACCGTCAGTGAGCAGTTCAGGTCTAGAAAACATAACCAGCGCTGTCAATGAGATCTGTCCAAGCACCCAGGGATGTTCGGCAGCACCTCCGGACCTCCGTCTATAGATCTGGCTGATGGGCTTTCTTAGCCCTGACCAACACACAGTCAAGGTCCCTGCCACATGGGGGCAGCCATCCTGCTAACGGGAGCTACCAACAGCACTGAGCTCTGAGGATCCTCCCAAGTCCTGGGCCGGCTGGTGGTCCCTGCTTTTGATGTTAGCCGATCCCTACTGCCTAGCACTGAAACACACAGCCTCCATGTGTGTTACACATATGTGTGTAGGTGCCTGTAGAGGCCAGAAGTCAGCAGACGGCATCTTCCTTAATTGCTCTCCATGTTAATTTTTGGTAATTTCTTTTTTTTTTAAATTATGTGTGTGTGTATGTGAAAGCGAGCAGAAACAGTGTAGTAAGAGGCAGTGTAGTGCCTGAAGAAGCCAGAAGAGGGCGCTAGGACAACTGGAGCTAGAGTTACAGGTGGTTATGAGTGGCTGGTCCAGGACGCTGGGAGCCAAGCTCAGGTCCTGAGAAAGGCCAGCAGGCATTCCTCACTGCTGAGCCATCTCCACTGTGTGTTTTGAAGGTCTCCCCCTGAACCTTCGGCCCACATATTTGGCCACACTGGCTGGCCAGCAAAACCAGGGATTTTCTTCTCTCTGCTCACTGTGGATCACAGGTTCACAACACCTCACCTGGCTCTTTTTTTGCTCATACCATTTGGGTACCAGGGTTTAAACTCCGGTCCTCAGGCTTGCCCGAGCCTCGTCTAAAGCAGCTCTTGTTTTGTTTTTCTTGTTGAGATGAGGTATTGTGATATAGCCCAAACTCAACAGCCATGGCTCTCAACCTGTGGGTCACAACCCCCTTGGGTATGGGGGAGGTGGGAGTTGAGGGGAAGGGGATGGATGGGTGTCCAACACCTATTTTACAGGGGTCGTGTAAGATCACTGGAAAACACTGATATTTACATTACGATTCCTAATAGTAGCAAAACTAGTTATGAAGAGGCAACGAAAGTAAGTTTACGGCTGGGGTCACCAAAGCACGAGGACTATATTAAAGGCTGCAGCGTTAGGAAGGCCGAGAACCATGGATCCTACCTCAGCCTCCTGAGTGCTATTATACAGTTAGAAACCGTCACACTCAGTTCTAATGGAGAATCAGCAGGGCAGGGTAGCTCGTGTCTATGAGACCAGAGGACACGAAGGGAGGTGGAAGCAGGAAGATCAGTTGGATCAGCCTGGGCTACACGGTGAACTCCAGAGTAGCCTGAGCTAGAAAGGAAGATCCTGTCCTAAAAACAAAAACTCTCAAAAGCCAAACGCACCAAATCAGAGAGCAAAGTAAATAAAAAAGAAAAGGAAGGAAGTGTCTGCAAAGTGGACCGCGGGAAGATGCCAGTTTGCTGCTGCTTCTCACAGTGTCCCTGAGGGGTCTGGCCAGCCCTCATGTCTATGTGTACAACTTAATTTAAAAAAAAACACGGTGTATGTGTGCGTGTAAGTGTAGGCCACAACTCACACGTGGAGAGCTGAGAATAAGCTTGCTGGGGTCATCTTCTCCTTCTAGCACGTGGGTCCGGGGACTGAACTCAAGCCTTCAGGTTTGGTGGCCAGGACCTTTATGAGCCAAGCCATCTCACCAGCCCTTGTCTGGTTACACTTACTTCTTTATTACGTGTGTGTGTGTGTGTGTGTGTGTGTGTGTGTCTGTGAGCATCATGCCATGACACACATGTGAAGGTCAGTTCTCTTCTGCTGTTTGGGTCTAAGGTAAAGGTTGTGTCTCGACCTTCCTAACGCCATGACCCTTTTATACAGTTACTCATGGTGTGGTGACCCCAAACACAAAATTCTTTTCATCGCTACTTCGTAGCTGTAATTGCGCTACTGTTATGAACTGTAATGTAAATTATCTGTATTTTCCCATGGTCTTAGGCAACCCTGTGGAACGGCGGCCTGACCCCCAAAGCTTGGGAGCACAACGGTCTAAGGGATAAAGTTCAAGTCCATCAGGCTTGACAGCAAACATTTTCACCCGCTGAGTCACGTCTCTGATGCCACCCTCAGACCTGCACGCTCTTCCTTGTTTTTTCTTTCATTCTGTTTTGAGACTGGCTCTCAGCATGTGTCTGTGGCTAGCCCGGGAACACCCAGACTTACCTTTTGATGACAAACTGGATGCTGTTGCTAGCCTCCAGAATCTTCCGCAGCTTGGCAATCCCAAAGCAGTTGGGTCTTCGGAGAGAGATGCCTTCAGGCAGTCCCAGGACGAACAGCTCCTCGGGGTGCATCAGGAACTTGGAATAGGGCACCTTGACTGGCTCTGAGGTACCAATGGCTTTGGCTGTGAAGACACGGCTACTGTCAGGCAACCTGGAACCCCAATCCTGGCCTCCACCTCTCCATGGGAGCTGCTTTAGGTGAGGGCTTTAGAGACAGCACTCAGCTGAACCCCATAAACTTGCCAGAGGGTAGAAAGCACATCTAACCCGCAGGCCAGGATAAAGTTACCCAGTGAAGGTGACTTGTCTGGAGGCACACATACAGCCCAGGAATATGAACCCCAACAGCCACTCTTCACTCCCGCCTTCATAGCAGAGAAACGAGAGTATCTCTGCTATGTGACTGCTGCCCCCTCTCCTCTGAAACCGCCTTCCAAACCCCCAAACCTTCACAAAGCCAGATCTAGGACTAGCCATATCCGAGGTTCTCTGCCCCTGAGTAGCCTGGTGCCTTGAGCCAGCCATCATGACAGCTACAGCAGGCTTCATAGTTCCACATTTGCAAAGCAGGCTTAGGACTATGTGTGGAAGGCAGGAGAGGGCTCGTGAGAAGCCAGCACCTGGCAAACTTGAGGAGCTACAGAAAACAGCCTTCTTTAATCTCTTCCATTTTCCTGGACTCAGGTTTGTCTTATTGTAGGGCTGGGAATGGAACCAAGGGCTGATATGTGCTAAAAAAGCACTTTGCCACTGAGCCACACCCCAGCCCCTCACTGGGGATTCTAGGCAGGTGCTCTACCAGTGAGCCATACCCCTAATCCCCTCACACGGTAGCTCATAACCATCTGGTGCCCTCTTCTGGCCTGCCGGCACACATACAGGCAGAATACTATATAAATAATAAATAAATAAATCTTAAAAAACAACAACAACAAAAAGAATGTGTGGAGTAGGCCAGCAGGGTGGAATTCTCTGCCAGAGGCTATTGACATGGCTGAGCTATAGGGGCCAATCACTCAAGTGTTACCATCCTGAAGGTGAGTTCCAGTTCTGTCCCTTTCTCTGACCTTCAGGACCATCCCTTTCCCTACTCACCATATTTTGTGTTGAACAGCATCTCCACCTGCTTCCTCAGGGGCCGGATCACATCTCCAGGGCTCTCTGGAAGGCAAAAGACATGTGTTGAGTTTTCTGGAGAGAGAAACTTGGCGCTTCTTAGCTCACACCCCAGCCCTGAAGGCATCAGGAAGGACCCTGTGGTGAGACTTTGGAAAAACGGCAGCTCTACAGAAGCCTGTTGTAATTCCTGGATTTTGCATACGTGATTGGGAACTATGTCACAGTGGAGATGTAAAAGGTCTGGTGGCTGTTCTCTGACAGCATTACTTTTAGATCAGCTAGCGCAACAACCATGTAAAGCACGCAACGTAAACAAAGTAAGCCTGTAATTCGCATGCACTGCCACCAGGGGGCAGTAAACATTTCCTAATAACTTTACAGGTACCAAGCTGGGTTCTACAAAGTGGCATTCACACTAGTGATAAATAGAATTTCACTCTTACCTTGGCCTCTCTACCTACCCTGCCTTGTTCTCAGCAGGGAGGGGAAAAAAAGGACAGTTGTTCTTGTAGTATCTTTTATATAGAAAGTAAGTTTTACATACTAAAGCTTAAAATCTTGCTCAGGAAGGTGAGGGGCACAACTTGTGCAAACCGAAGGTAAAACTTGACTCTGACAGAAGCCTGCCAGTTTCTAACACACTCTAGAGCTTTCTCCCACCTGGCGCAGCTCACACAAGGCTCCCGGCCCAAATGCAGGGTGCTGGAGAGAGATGGGAGGGGAAGGAGAATTTCTCACAGGGCCGCAGTAGAAGTGGAAAGGGAATTACGGGAGACAGACAGGGCCTCACCTTCTGCTGGCCTCTCTTCTGGCCATGGGTCCTCACTGGGGCCTTTGTCTGTGAGAAAGCAGAGGATGTTAGGAAGCCATGCTTATTATCTCCTGAGGTTTCACTGTCAGGAGGCTCGACTAAAGGAGTGATAGTCAGGCTAGAGAGCTCAAATAGAGGCAGGGTAGCACACCCCCAGATGGGATCAGGACACACCATGCCGTTCAAATAGAAACCTACAATCGCCTTTGACGGGCCCCCTCCAAGGACCCGCCTCCAGCCAGTCTATTCCAGACACTGAAGAGAATGTAGACCTCAGAAGTTAACGCACCAGGATTCAGTGAAGAGAGACCCACACCTGTGATCTTAGCCATTCAGAGCCTCAGCGTGGAGGACTGTGAGTTTGAGGCCAGCCTGAGCTACGCAGTGAGACGATGTTTCAAAAAAAAGCCAAGGGCCTGGAGCACAGCTCAGCAGTTGTGTCCTTGCTTAGCAGGCACTCAGTCCCAGATTCCATTCCCAGCACCAAAAAAATACATTAAATACATTGACACATACAGTGTCTGTACATATCTATGTATATATTTTTATATTAAAAGGACTGTACGTTGTGGCAGGCATAATCCCAGCACAGGGAGGCTGACACTGAAGGATGAGACTGCAGGACAGCCTGGGCCATGCAGCAAGAATCTGTTTCAGAATCCATGGCGAGCACACCAGCTGTTATGGTTAGTTTCAATTGCTGACTTAACACAAAAGGTGCTTTTGCTTGCAGAACCATCTCTCCAACCTCCTTTTTTTTTTTTAATTTTTATTTTTAGTTACTATTTTTTTGAATTACCAGAAGACAGTCTCAATAAGAGGTTCTCTAAATCAGAGAGGTCTTTGTGTAGAGGGCTGTCACTGACTTTGTTAATCCATGTGGGAACACCCAGACTAAAAGGGCGTGGCTACGTTCCCTGGGTCTGGGGCCTGAACTGTGAAAGAACAGAGAAGGCGAGATGAGCAGCAAGCATGCGCGCATCCATTCTCTCTGCCCTGGACTACAGAAGTGCTTGCGATGACTGTGGCTTCCAGTTCTGCCATCCTGACCCTGCAATGATGGACTGTACCTGGGGCCTGTGAGCCAAACAAACCCTTTCTCCCTTACAATGCTTTTTTCCAATGTCATGTGCTCACACAAAAGAAATAAAACAAGAACGCTTATCATCCCAGCAACTTGGGAGGCCGAGGCAAGAGGCTTGGGAGTTTGAGGCAAGCCTGGGCTATGCAGCCATTTCAGTACTGGCTGCACAACTTAGTGAGGTCCTATCTCAGATCTAAAAAAGGAGAAATGTGCACATGTACACACACAAACACACACTCACACAAAGGGCTGGGGATACAGCTCAATTGCAGAGTGCTTGCGTGGGATGTAAAAGGCCTTGGGTTTGATGTTTGGCACTCCTTTAGGTTATCTGTGTAAGCTACAAGTAAAACAGCAAAGACTTTTCTGGGGCTGAGTTCGGTTCCCAGCACCCATATCAGCCAGCTCACAACTGTCTGTAATTCCAGAGAATCTGATGCCCTCCTCTGTCCTCTGAAAAAACAAGTACTTTTTTTGTTTTGTTTTTTGAGACAGGGTTTCTCTATGTAGCCTTGGCTGCCCTGGTACTTGCTATGTAGACCAGGCTGGCCTCGAACTCACAAATATCTGTTTTCCTCTGCCTCCCCAAGTGCTGGGATAAAAGGTGTGTGCATTCACTGTATGGCATAGAAAGTACTTTTAACTGCTAAGCCAACTCTTCTGCTCTCATCATTTTGAAATAGGGTCTCATATCCCTCTGGCTGGTCTTGAACTATGACTAAAGATCCTTGTGCTAATAATCCTCCTCTCTCTGCCTCCTAGGTGCTGGAATTATGGGTGCGTGGTACCACAACCAGTTTATATGGTCCTGGCGATGGAACCCAGGGCTCAGGAGTGTTCAGGTAAACAACCAACCAACTGTGCCACATTCCCAACACATTTGAAAAAGAATTAATTGAATTTATTTATTTATTTGTGTGTGTGTGTGTGTGTGTGTGTGTGTGTGTGTGTAGGGTATATGCATGCCACAGCAGACACATGGAAGTCACAGAACAATTTAATTTTGGGGTATTTATTCTCTCGTTACACCATGGGAAGCAGGCAGATCTTTGTTTGAGGCCAGCCTGGTCTACAAAAGGAGTCCAGGGCAGCCCAGGCTACACAGAGAAACCCTGTCTCCAAACAAACAACAAACAAATGAGGGTATCAAGCTTGCATGGCAAGTGCCTTTCCCTGCCAACCCAACTCTCTAGCTACATTTTTGGTATTTGGAATCAGGGTCTCATGTAGCCTAGGGTGACCTTGCCATTCGGCCAAGGATAACCTTGAACTTCTGATCCTCCTGCCTCTGTCACCTCAGGTGCTGGGATTAACACTACATCTGGCTTGTTTGGGGAGTTGTTTTCATGTGTTCATTCTGTCCCTCCCTACAGTGCTGAGCATAGACCCCAGTCCCTCAAAGAGGCTACGATTAGCTATCTGCTAAAGGGCTCTGACATGAAGATGAGTGAGGGACCAACAGCAACTCTTTCTTTTGTTGTTTTGTTTGTGAGATGGGTTTTTTAGTGCAGTGTTGGCTGTCCTGGAACTCACTCTATGGACTAGGTTGGCCTCAAACTCAGAGATTCACTTGCTCCTGCCTCCTGAGTGCTAGTATTAAAGGGGTGTGCCACCACTGCCCAGCTCCTCAAAGCATCCAATCAAGTGCAAATATTTCAAAATCCAAAGACACACCCCAAGTTACAGACATGCGTGGTCCCACATAGAGCCCCTTGACTGTTGAGTCTTCTCCAGCAACAGCAAAGACTTCCTGACCCGCCTGTCCCTCCCTATGGCTCCCCAGGGTGGTAGGTCCCCAGAATGGCCAGTCCCAGCCCACCTCTTACCAGCCGGCATTTCCATCCCATAACCAGAATCCTCTGAAGGCAGATGGCCAGGTAACGAGTCAGTCATCTCCTCAGAGGTTGGTGAAGGATCTGGAAGCAAACTCCAAATGAGGAGGGCATCTTTTACGCATTCCACCCTTCATGGTCCCTGACCTGGACCAAGCAGGTACAGACCATGTGCAGGTATCTGATCTTGAATGCCAAGATTGTGTTGTTTACTGGGAAAACCTGTTTCTAGTTGTGGTGTAGCTCAACCCTAGCACACACCTTTAATCCAAGAGCTTTCTGCTTGAACAGGATTAAGTAAAGTCAACCACAGGTCAAGAGATGGAGCAAGCAACCGGTTGACAAGGAACGGACATGGGAAAAAAAACCATAAAGAGTAAGAGGAAGTCAGGAAGATGGCTAGAGAGACATATTGGAAGTAGAAGAAAGGGACATTCAGTTTGGGGGATGTTTTAGAATGGTGCGGGGAAAGAGAATTTCTTTTTGGGACGTCAGTGGAGGAGGAAGGTCAGCCGGGTGCTTCTCTGCTCTTTGAGCTAGCAGGCTTTCAACTCAGACTCTGGCTCCCGAGTCTTCAATGGTAAAATTGAACAATTGGCATTTTGTTAAAAACAACACCAAGACTCTAAAAGAAATCCATGTAGTCAGGGGTTGTAGTGCTGTGTGGGAAGGTAAAACAGCATGACTGAGGGCTTCAGAGTAGGTTCAGGGCTAGTTCCATCAACTCAGGGAGATCTCGTCTCAAAATAAAAACTGAAAAGGAGGAAAAAAGGGAGGTGCTGTGGCTCCGTGGTAGAGCGCCTGCCTAGAATTCCCCAGTGAGGGGCTGGAGGTGTGGCTCAGTGGTAGAGCACCTGCCTAGAATCCCCCAGTGAGGGGCTGGGGTGTGGCTCAGTGGTAGAGCCCCTACCTAGAATCCCCCAGTGAGGGGCTGGGGTGTGGCTCAGTGGTAGAGCCCCTACCTAGAATCCCCCAGTGAGGGGCTGGGGTGTGGCTCAATGGGAGAGAACTTGCTCAGCACATGCAAGACCTCAAGCTATATCCAAAACATTGGGGAAAAAAGAATCAACCTGGATACAACGGCCTGATGGAGCACGCTGCAAACAGGACAGCAGCACAAAATGTGCAGTCAGGAACAGGGGTGACAACAGTCCTCCAATGCGTGTTTCTTACCCGAAACAGTAACCTGAATAATATCCAGCTCCTCTGGCTCGATTTTGATGGGCCTCAACATTCCTAGCTCTCCTGAGGTTCCTGCAAGGGAACAAGGGGAATCCAGTCAGGAGGGGGCATGAGCGTGCCGTACAAAGCACATCTTTGCAGAACATTCTCCTGTCTGTGAACTGACAGTGAACAATTAGGAAAAATCATTTTGGACCTTGGCTCCTGGACAGAGCAGGAAGGGCCAGATGAGCCCTTGGACAAGCTCAAGCCAACCCTGAAGACATCCTGAAGACGGAGTTGCTTATCCACAGGGCTAGAGAGCTGGCTCAGCAGGGAAGAGGGCTTGTTGCTCTTGCAGTGGTGATGCCAGGCCTCGGTGTCTATTCTCTGCCCCTCCCCAGAGTTCCCAGCATGCTCTGCTGCTTGTAGTGTGTGGCTTGAGGATGGCATGGAGGCCATGGCACAGAACTATCCCCAGGTATTATGGGTTCACAGCCTGGGCGGGGTTCTTCCTGGTTCTGTCCCCACAGAATATACACAGGGAGACATGCCTTCTCACCTGGCCCACAGTCTTCAGAGACGCTGCTCTTGTCTGACCTGAGAAAGGAAGGTGGGGAAATGACCCGGTGTTGACCTTGTCCTGAGCTGATCTGCTCAGCTCCACCCCCCACACACCTCAAAAACAGCACTCAATCTAGTGTCAATGAGCCTCTTTGTGACGCCTGTACTTGAAAGACACACACAGGAGGATTGCTGGGGGTTCAAGACTCTTTAAGAGTCTGCCTAACAAAGCTACGGGGCCAGAGAGCTGGCTCAGGAGTGGCGAGGGCTTGCTTGCTGTCCTTGCAGAGCAACCGAGAGCAGTTCCCAGCACCTACACGGGAGCTCACAACCATCTGTAGCTCTGCTTCCAGTGTACCCCACGCTCTCTTCTGGTGTCCATATGCACCATCTGTACATACGTGGTGCACAGAGATACACCAGGCACAGGCATTTAACATAGAATATAAACAGTCTTAACCCAGGCACGGCGGCTCACGCCTTTAACCCCAGCACTTGGGAGACAGAAACAGGTGGATCTCTGTCCGTGATCCAGGGATCAGCCTATTCTACCAAGTAAGTTCCAGTACAGCCAGAACTAGACAGTGAGAACCTGTCTCAAAAACACAACAAAAAAATCAACAAAACACCACACATCTTGGACCCTACGCTTTCACAGAGCATGGGTCCGTGTCAGGGACCAGCTTCTCAGGGCCCTGGCTCCTGGCTCCAGGGGTCGTGACTCTCGCTCTCCATCTTCCTGGCCAGCAAGTGTTCTACAGCTCATGACCTGGCCTGGCCCGTTTTGGAGTCTATAGGCTTAGCAAAGTAGCTGGATGGAACATAGTCGGGGATTAGGGACTGTAGGATGTCTGTGAACAAGACCTGAGACATGAGCATTATAAGTATATGACTGCTCTCATTTAACCAAAAATGGGGGAGGGGGGCTGGAGAGATGGCTCAGCAGCTAAAAGCACTGGCTGGTCTTCCAGAGGTCCTGAATTCACTTCCCAGCAACCATATGGTGGCTCACAACCATCTGTAATGGGATCTGATTCCCTCTTCCTGCTTGCATTAAGACAGAGTACATTTATATATCTTAAAAAACAAAAACAAAAAAAAAAAAAATGAGGAAGATGGAATCCACAGTTTCGCGCACACTAAGTGGGTATACTCTACCCTGAGCCACACCTGCAGCTCAAACGGCCAGATGTTATCCCGCTCAGTTCACAGCCTGGGTTGGGGAAGAGGGCCGGTGAGCAGGCTATGGGTTATAGACACAGGAACAAACAGTGTGGACAACCAACTAAGGTCCCTGAGCTAACAGACACCTGAAATACCTAGTCCTTGTTCTCTTGCTCCAATTTGTCTCTCAGTGGCCTAGAAGGTGTATATTCGGAGTCCTTGGATGTGGAAAACTTATGCCAAAATGGAGTGATGGCAACTTGTCAGGCCTCAGCCCTTCCTCTGCTGTGGAGAACACAGGCCTAACACAGAGCACAGGGACCTTACCAGGCAGTCCCAGCCAGGTCCAGCATGGTGTCCCTACAGACCTCTGTGGGAGTGTCTTCTGTTGGGCTGCCTGGCTCCATCTTCATTGGGTCTTTGGTAAACTTGTTCCCTGTGGGAAGAGTTGTGCTTGAGAACATGGCTCTTCAGAGCTGGGCACAGCGGTGCACACCTGTAATCCCAGCACTCAGGGAGGCAGAGGCAGACGGATCTCTGTGCGTTCAAGGCCAGCCTGATTTACAAAGTAAGTTTAGGACAGCCAAGGCTACACAGAGAAACCTTGTCTCCAAACACAAAACAAAACAACAAAAAAAAGAAGATGCTCCTCAGCCAAATGTGTTAGCATACCCTGCAAACCCAACATTCAGGAGGCCGAGGTCGTGAGTTCGAAGCTGGTTTGGGCTACACAGAAAGACCTTATCTTGTGAACCCTCAAAAAGGGCCTCTCCTGTTGATGGAGATAGCTGGGAAGTTGCTTCTCTAAGACATTCCTCAGGGCATTCTTAAAAGGGTAGGGCCTGCTTTTGCTCTCTTCTTTTGGGGGTTGTCTGAAAGAGCTAGGAATTCATCTGACCACACCCTGCCCTCATTCTGAACAGTTTTCTCCACCCTCCACCAGGGCTTGATAATGTAAGAAAAAAGACCATTCCACCATTTGCCCCATAGGGTCATTTTCTCGTTTACGTTTAATAAAATCAGAAACTACAAGGCAGCTAGTGCCTCTTTTTAGTTTTTCAAGACAGGGTTTCCTAGCGTAGCCCTGGCTCTTCTGGAACTCACTCTGTAGATCAGGCTGGCTTCGAACTCAGCGATGCACCTGCTTCTGCCTCCTAAGGGCTGGGATTAAAGGCATGAGCCACCACTGCCTGGCCACCTAACTCCTCTTTATCATCCCCATGTCACAGATGGGAAAATAAAGGCCCACAGAAAATGTCCACAGCTAGGAAGCTGGTGGTAGGTAGCAAAGCTGTTAATGGGGCTCTGGTATGTCACGCCTCAAGGATCTGTGTAGCTTTTGGTGGCTGCGATTCAATTGACAGCTTCCCTCCCTCTATTCGGTGTCCAACTGTCCTGGGAGGCCTTAGGCCACAGCTCCTAAGGGAAATGCAAGGCCCCACTTGTCCAGCACTTCAGCTTTATCTAAGGGAGTGGGATCATCCCCATGCCTGCAGAGTGGTTGAAAACGAAAACGGGCTGGCAGCATGTGCCTGCAATCTCAGCACTCAACAGACAGAGGCAGAAAGATCTGGAATGAGGCCAGCCTGGGTTACACAGAGTTTGAGGCCAGGCTGGACTATATAGTGAGACCCTGAGTAGGAAATCATGGGAGGGGATGGTTAGGTAAAAGAAGATAAGAAAAAATACACAAGGAAGCTAAGGTGCTGGCAAGATTGATCTCTAGGGGAAGTGCTTGTCATACAGGGATGAAAACCTGAATTTGGAGCCCCAGCACACACAGGGGAATAATAAGATAGACTGGGGAGCAAGACAGGGTCAATGGGCATTGTGTCTCTCGAAAGAGTAAGGGAGAGAGTGACTGTGGGAGACAACAGTGTTGACCTCATGGAAATTTACGCACACACAGGCACACACGCACACACCAACACAACACAGCAACAAAACCACGGTAGTTCCCAAGAAAACCTGGCTGTTTAGCAAATGGTATCACTGTTTTCTTCAAGGAGACTCTAAACTCTAGAGTGTCCAGTCTGTGAGTTGCCGGGAGCCCAGAAACCACCTATAATCCCAAGATGCCGAAGAGGACTCAAGACAACAGGGTCAGCTCTGAAGTCCCCAACTCCAGAAGAGATCAATGGTACCCACTCACCTGTGAAAATACGATCATCAAACATCCTGGGAAGAGAGAAAAGAGAACATAAGAAAGGTGAAGGTTGGTCCCTTCAGAAACGGCCGTGGACCCCACCAGTGTGGTTCTTAGAGATACAGACTAGGGCACAGGGCTGGCCACCCATGTGCGCAAGTGTTGGGGAGCTCAGAATCACCGTGGAAACAAACCTCTGGTTAACTGAGAAGGGAGACTCTAAGTGTGGGTGGCACCGTCCCATGGGCTGGGGTGCAGGACCAAATCGAAAGAAGACAGCTGAGAGTCACCATTCATCTGCCCACTTCCTGAGGATCCATGTGACCAGCTGCCTCACATTCTCGCTGCCAACCTTCCCACCATGATGGACTGTACCCCCTCAAACTGTGAGCCCAAGTAAACCTTAAGCTCCTCCCTTAAGCTACGTTTGGCGGGGGGGGGGGGGGGGGGGGAGGCTGTTACAGCAGCAATGAAAAGTAACCAATACAGAGCAAATCTGAGATCTCAGAATGTGATTTCAGGATGTGTTTCTGCTTCGCCAGGGATGGAATGGCCCTCTGCTCTCTCTGATGATGAACCAGCTCCCAAATCTCCCTCCTTTGCTGCTGCAGTGAACAATCCAAGCTCCCGTCCCAATGCTACTCCAGGCATGAAAGACCGGTAGAGGTGTTTTTGTTGTTGTTTTGTTGTGTTTGAGACAGGATCTCACATAACCTAGGCTGACCTCAAATTCCCTCTGTAGCCAAGATGACCTTGACTTCCCAACCCTTTTGCCTCCCTCTCTTCCGTGCTGGAATTAAAGGACTTGTAACACCGTGCCTGGGTTTTTGCAGGGCTTCGTGGGTGCCAGGCAAGCATTCTACCCACAGGGCCACACCATCACCCAGAGACTTGCCCATCAAGCCGCTGATACACGTGTAGCTAAAGGTCAGGCTCAGCAGAAAGCAACTGGGAGAGACTGGACGGACGACAGCCATGGAAGCTGACCCGAGGGCTCCTTCAGGGTATTTTCAGAAGAGCCCAAGCAGGGCAGAAACCAGGGTGTCCTGTAGATGGCTAGAAGCAAGGCCCATCTTCACAGGCCTCCACCTTATGGATCTACAGAGACCTGGAGCCCTGTGGCAAGGTCAGATCACAGATGGACCCACTGCAGGCGAAGAGGCCCAGGGATGGCTTAAGGACCAAAGCATGCAGACACAGCATGCAAAGTCCAGGCCAGGAATGGCGGGCACGGAGGCACTCCCCCGTAGTCCCAGGGTTTCAGAGGCTCAGAAGGGAGGCTCGAGGTCAAGGCCACCGGCTATGTATTGAGACCTTGTCTCAAAAAGACTAACCACAGTCTGTTATTGTTACTATATCTGGTTTTGGCTTTGCTTTGTTTTTTGAGACACGGTTTCTCTGTGTATCCCTGGAAGTCCTGGAACTCACTATATAGACCAGGCTGGCCTTGAACTCAGATCTGTCTGCCTCTGCCTCCCAAGTGCTGGGACTAAAGGAGTGTGCCGCCACCACCTGGCTTAACAATAGTTATTATTGCCACGAACAGACAAGAGAAATAATTCCCAAAGAGAAAGCAGTGCAGCAGGGGTTGGAGGTAGGGGTGTGTGTGTGTGTGTTTGCATGCGCACATGCATGTATACAATCGTCCACATGACACAAACTAGTGTCAGCTGAGGAGCTGCCCACATGAGCTTGGCTTGTAGGCCTGTCGCTGATGAACGGTGTAAACTGATGCAGGAGGGCCCAGGCTGCTGAGGCAGCATCATCACTGGGCTAAGAGAGCTAAGCATGAGCAGCAGGGAGCCAGAGCGAGTCAGAGAGCAGCGTTCCTCCGTGGTTTCTGCTGAGTTCCTCCCTGGCTTTTCTCAGTTGTGGACTGTGACCCGGAAGCGGAAATAAACCCTTTTTCCTCCCCAAAGCTGCTTTTGGTCATTGCTGTTAGCACAGCAAAAGAATGAACTAGGACAGGACTATGAGCGTGTAATTGAGGGCGGACGATGGTCAGAATGTCTGGTAAGAATGTGTGGAAATGTCACAGACCCTATTTTGGATGATCAGTGACTTAGAAAGCTATTGAGAGTGCAGAGCACGGCAGTGCAGACCTGTAATCCCAGCACTTAGGTGATGGGGGAAAAGGGGCCAGAATCCAAGGTCATCCCGGGCTACACAGTGAGCTCACAGTGCACAGACACTGTCTGTAGAAAACAAAACCGGGTTCAATTCCCAGCACCCATACAGCTCACGGCTGTCTGTAGTGCCAACTCCAAGGGACCTGACACCTTCGTGCTAAAGCACATAAAATAAAATTATTTTTAAAAACAAACCAGCAAGCTGGGTGCAATGGCAAACCCCTGTAATCCCAGCCCTCAGGAGGCAGAGGCAGGGGGATCTCTGAATGTTAGAGGCTAGCCTGGTCTACCTATTAAGTTCCAGGACAGCCAGAGGTACACAGTGAGTCCTTGCTTCAAATAAAAAACCAAAACCAAAAAAAACAGAAATAAATAAATAAAAATAAAAGAAACAAAAAAAGCCAGTAAGGGTAGACTGAGTTGGGGCTCAGAGCACGAAGCTGAACGTGACTTCCTGTTCCTCCTCCAAGGAGAGACCAGGGTTCCCTGCTGTTCCGGGGCTCTGGAAGCTCACATGCCATCTGGATACCACAAGGCCTGACACAGACCTAGAGCCACACGGCTGGGAACTAGCTTCCTGTCTGGAGGCCCTCTCCCCCTGCGAGCCCCACCCACTGGCCCAGCAGCTGCAGAGTTAACAAGAGGACCATTATTTATGAGGCACAGTGGGGGGAGGTTGGCACAGTCAGACCACAAGGGGTCTCCCACCATTTTTGCAGATGTGGAGGTAGAGGAAAAAGCCAGACGACCTCAGACGATATCTGGGCAGGAGTGCTCACTGCATGGGCGAGGGGCTCAAAGCACGGTCCTGAGCTCCAGAATCATCTGCTCCTCGTTTTGCCTTTGTGGTTCTCAGGGTAGAAAATCCAGTGCCTTACACGTTAGGCAGGGGTTCTACCACTGAGCCACACCCCCAGCCACTCACTGAGGGATTCTAGGCAGGGGCTCTACCACTGAGCCACACCCCAGCCCCTCACTGGGTTTTCTAGGCAGGGGCTCTACCACTGAGCCACACCCCCAGCCCCTCACTGGGGGATTCTAGGCAGCTGTTATTTCACAGAAGCAAGCCAATCCACACCTCTTGATTATGAAGTGAATGCTGTGTCGCTCCTCCAGAATCCGTTTCAGCTTGGGCACCCCGTAAGTACAGGGCCGCTTAAAGGGGATCTTGTCCGGGATGCCCACAATTTCCACAGCCTCAGGGTCACAGGCAATCTTCCTATAAGGGACAGGGACCATGTGGTCCAAGCCCAGGGCTTCCGCTGAAAGGGCAAGAACATAGATGAGTACAAGAAACAAGTCACAGGACACTGTGGGCCAGACCCAGATCACAGTCCCTCCCCCTCTGATGCTGCACTGGCTGTGCAATAAGAGAAACAACTGGGGAACCTTTCTCCCTTTTCTTGCTTTCTGAGACAGAGTCTCATTGTATAGCCCTGGCTGACTCAGAACTCGCTGTGTAGATCAGACTGGGCTCAAATTCTAGAGATCTCTATGTTCTGCTTCCCAAATGCTGGCATTTAAGAGCAGCGCCACCTGACCAGAGTCTTTATTTATTTATTTTTATATTTTTGTCTTTTGAGACAGGGTTTCTCTGTGTAGCCCTGGCTGTCCTGAAGCTTACTCTACAGACCAGGCTGGCTTGACCTCAGAGATTCACCTGCCTCTGCCTCCTGAGTGCTGGGGTTAAAGGTGTGAGCTACCACGCTCAGCCCAGAGTGTTTCTTAAAAACCTTTACTGCTTATGTACTGGGAGGCATTGTTAAGGCCTGAGTGTGGAGGTCAGAGGACAACTCTCCTACCATGGGGGTTCCAGGGATCGAACTTAGGCTGTAAGACTTGGCTGCAAGTGACTTTACCAGCTGAGCCGTCTCCCAGCTCCGTCTGCACCTACTTGAGTCAGGGTCTTGTTATATTCACCAGAATGACACCAAATTCACAGCAATCCTCCTGCCTCAGCCTCCCAAGAGTTGGGCTTCCACACCTGGTGAACCATACCAGGCTCCAAATACTGCTTACTTTCCTTGGGCAAGCTAGTCCTCAACTGGGGCTTTCCCTGTTCTCCCACGGTTGTGTTCCTGTGGTCCAGAGCTGCCCTCCAGCCATTCCCGGCCATGCCAGGGCTCGGCAGAATAGTCCGGGCTGCTTCAGGAGCAGCACTGTTTTCCTGTCGATGCGTCCCGGGCCTGTGTGTTGGCAGCGCTGGCAGCCAGCTCTACCCTGCGAAGTCACACTTAGCTCCCTGTCAAATTAAACCCTGGCAATCTAAGCAACTGTCAAATCATGTCTTCCCCATGCCCGCCCACCTCCTGTCTGGGAGCCACCCGCCCTGCCTTCAGTGTTTGGCCAGTTGCTTTTTGGAGTTCAGGAGAACTCAGGACCATGCAAGGTCAGCCTCAAGGGACTCTCCCCCCCAGCACCCCCAGCCACCGACAAGTTCTCTTTGCATCCACGATCCTCCTGCCTCCATTTCCAAAAAGCTGGGATTATAGGTGTGGCCCACCAGGCCTGGTGTATGCGGTGCTGAGACACAACCCAGGGCTTCCTGAATGGTTGGCAATAACTCTACCAACGGAGCCATATTCCCAGCCTCTTCAGGGTTTCTGACAGGGCCTCTCTCTACAGCCCAGGCAGGCCTGACAGTCTTAATCCTTTTTGTCTCAGACTCCGGAACAATGGCACTACAAGTGTGCACTATGACACGTGGTCTCTGTTTTTGTTTTTTTTTTATTGTCCCTATATGCACCCTACTCTGTCACAGGCCTAACATAAGCATATATGGTAGGCAGAAGGGCGGCGCCAGGCTGGAGCTGGCTTTCACCCAGGCCTCATTCTCTTGGACATACCCAGAGTTTCCCGCTCCATGCAGCCCAGGGGGCTTCACCTGACTACACGAGGTGCAGACAGCCAATTAGGCCACCAGGCAGGACCTACACAGAAGGCCTGAGCTACCAGTCCCAAGCCCATCCAGCAAGGACGTCATGTCAGGAAGCCTCTCGACTCTCTAGCTTTAACCTCCACTAAGCCGTCTTTTTTGGCTTCCTCATCACGCACTCCTGGACACTAATGCCAGTTGTATTAGTGTTGTATCCGACCATATTCAAGGTCTCACAGCTGTGTGCACCTGCACACCAGGGTCCAGAGCCATATGATCTTGCACACAATTGCCCAAGGCTCTCTGCACTTGTACACAAGCACACACTACTGTCTGTATCTGTTGGGGGCACAGAAGTCCCTGCAGCCACAGATCACTAGGGAAACCAGGAATGTTAAACTCACAGGGCCTCTTCTCAGTGGAGGAGAGAAAATACCCATCTTCCCACCCAGAAGCCTGGACTGCTACTGACCTGGTAACCTCTCTGCTCTCTATGGAGGCAGACTTCTCCCCTCCCTAACTGTTACCCATCCTTGGGGAAGACGTCACGTGGACTCTGTGGCCTTTCAGCTCTAGAACCCACCCTCGTGGTCACATGTACTTGTAGAAGAACATAGAAGTTTCTATGTAGCCACACCGTAAGCTTTGCTGTGCACCTGGAACTGGACTCCTCGTTGCCTGGAAACCTCTTCCCCAACTGTACTGTGTTTTAAATATGCTGACAGTGGACGGCCTGGCATTAGACCCCAGAAGTCTGATCCAGATTGACAAGGTCAGTCAGCACTGGGCTTTTATTCTCATCTCTTCATGAGGTTTGCTTTCCTGTCTGACACCTGCAGGGACCCGTTCGTGGGCCTGCTGTATGCACCTGCATGCACCTAGCCCACGCGTCCTTCAGGCACCGATGGCCATGCTGCTTGGACATAAAGTCATCCCCCAGGAATGATGACCTCACGCCTCTCACGTTGTGCCTCAGGCCTTACTGAGCGAGGGGCTCTGCGCTGGGGACCAACTCCTAAATATTTTACAAAACTCAGCTTGTGGGTCTTCTCCTCCAGAGTTTACTTCCCCAGGGTCGAAAAGACCTGTCAATCAGAGGACATAAGGCAGGCAAACAGAACAGAAAACCCGGAGGGTGGTGTAGACTGGGAATCCCAGCACTGGGGAGAAGAAGGCAGGAGGATTGCTGTGCATTCAAAGCCAGCCTAGACAGTAGAGCAAAACCCTGTCTGAAAAACCAAGCAAACAGCTGGGCGGTGGCAGCTTGCCTTTAGTCCCAGCAGAATTGGGAGGCAGAATCCAAGGCCAGCCTGGTCTATAGCTCCAGCTCCAGGGCAGCCAAGGCTACATAAGAAACCCTGCCTCAAAAAACCAAAATCCAACCAACCAAACAAACAAAATCAACAACAAAAAAGGATTAGCGTTCCACCTGCAGCACCGAGTTGACCCTGTGAGGCGGTGCACACCTGTAATGGAGGATAGAGGCAAGAAGTTCAGAAGTTCAAGGTCATCCTTGGCTACACTGGGAGTTCAAAGGCAGCCTAAGTGAAATGAAGACCCTGCCTCTAAACAAATAAACAGACAGATAGATAGATAGATAGATAGATAGATAGATAGATAGATAGATAGATAGATAGATAGATAAGGAAAATAAAAGGAAAGAAGGAAGCAGGGTAAATTTGTCATGCATATAATTAACATATATCACGCATATAATTAATAATATAATGCATTATAATAAAATGTATTATTGGTGGACTGAGGCAGTTTGGCCTCAATAGCAATTTCAAGGCTAGCCTAGGTTTTGGAGTAAGAGCCTGTCTCCAAAAATCCAAACGTGGGGAGGACAGATGGTTCGGTGGGAGAAGGTGCTTTGCTGAGAAGCCCAACGACGTGGACTAGCTTCCTGGAATCCGTATGGTAGAAGGAGAGTCCTCACACTCCAGACCCACCACGCACACGTGAAAAGTAAATGTAAAACACTCACACACGCAGAACAACCAAACCACAAAAAAGACAAGTGCTGGCGATGATGGGTCACCAGGCAGCGGCACTGAGCGCCAAGCCTGACAACCTGAGCCCAACCCACAGTATGTAAAGGATGGACGGCGAGATCCCATCCTGAAAGCTGTGTGTGGCCAGATGCACACGTAGAAAATTAAAGTCTCAGCTCAGCTGGCCAAGTGCCTGTCTTCCAGACACGCAGATCCAACACTGATGCCCAGAACCAGTGCAGAAAGGCCGAGAGAGGCCTGCAGTGCTGGAGCACGCCTTTACCCCCAGCACTCTGCGTTCGAGGCCAGCCTGGTCTACACACCGAGCTCCAGAACAGCCAGGACTACACAGAGGAACCCTGTCTCGAAAAACTAGAAACAAAACAAGCCGGCAGGGGTAACTTGCCTTGTAGCCCCAACACGGGAGACATGGAGAAAAATGGGTACTCAGATGGCCGTGTTGGCCACTTTTGTCAACAGGACACAAGCTAGGGTCATCTGGGAAAAGGGACCTCAGTTGAGAAAATGTCCCCACTAGACTGGCCTGTGGACAAGCCTGTGCTTCGCTTTCTTGACGGACGTGGGGAGGCGCACCTCACGGTGGGCGGTGTCAAGCCTGGGTTGCTGGGTAGTTCTGGGTGCCACAAGCAGGCAGGCTGGGCAAGCCACCAGAGCAAGCCCGCAAGCAGCGCTCCCCCATGGCTTCTGCCTCAGGCCCTGCCTCCAGGTGCCTGCCAGTCTTCCCTCAGTGAGGTAGCACCACGGGAGGGTTATAAGCCGAAATTAACCTTTCCTCCCCAAGTCAATTTTGGTCACCGTGTTTTATCACAGCAATAGGAAGGCAAGACAGTGGTTCAGGGGCTAAAAGCGACAATCCAAGCTCGGTATCTGCAACCCGGATGGTGGAAGGAAAGAACCTGCACTGTGGCATTTACACACACACACACACACACACACACACACACACACACGGCCTCGTTACTGTCACCCCGGGTTTTGTCTCTAGCACCATGCTCACCCGGGTGTGGTGGTAATTCACACCTGTAATCCCAGCACTCAGGAAGAGGCAGGGGACCAGAAGTTCAAGGTCACCCTCATCTAGACTGCAATTTCAATGCTCGCCTGGGCTACATGAGACTACCTCAGCAACAGTGCACCTCAGAAAGGCAGACGATGCCTAAAAAACCATAACCTAGGTTTGTCTTCTGCCCCGGACCCCCACCCCCCGCACACGTATGCACAACTCCACACGGAGATGCGTGCACACACAACAAAAATAGCAGAGAGCAACACCGGGCTGTGGAAGCAGTGCGAGCAGGAAAAGCAGCGTGCCGCCCCTGCCCGTCTCCCCAAGGTCTAGGGAGCTTCCCTCAAGGTCTGGGCTCTGCCATCATTCCACCCCCACAGAGAATCTGCAAGGGAAATATTGACATAACCACCCTCTCCCGGGTGGGGGCGAGCAGCATATGCGGGCGCCAGCATATGGCTCCTGCTGCTGTGTTGGGGAGCCGCTCGCCCGGCGCCGCCCACTCACCGTATCTGCTGTTAAACAGGATCTGCACGCACTCCCGCAGCGTGTTGATGTCCTCCATCTCCTTGATGAAGGCGTCCCACTTCTCTATCAAAACAGAGGGCCCAGTGAGGGCTCACCCCAGGCGGGCTGCTTCCGCTCAGCGCCCCGAGCGCCCGCTGCTCTCCTCCCTCCAAAGCCGCCTGTCTATCCAGTGTGCAACTGGCCTGCTCAGTGTCCCCTCTGCTCTCTCACTGGCCCCTGTGTCCATTTCTCCATCCCCCAAAGAGCTGTGTGGGTTCTGAACCATTTCTCCCCAGGCTACCCTACCTCAGGCAGGCAAATGCCTGGGAAAGCCACATCTCTTGAGAAAGGAGGGTCTTACTATGTAGACCAGACTAGACTGGAACTTGTGTGTGTGTGTGTGTGTGTGACAAAGTCTCACTATGTAGCTCTGGCTGGCCTACGTAGACCAGACTGGCCTGAAGGCAGAGATCCTCCTGCCTCTGCTTCCTGTACTAAAGGCATACACCTAGCTTTTTTGATATTTCTTCTCTCACGAAGAGGAATATAACTCTTCCCCCGATGAGTACTGGCTGGAATATTCTGGACTTCTCATGGGTAGACTGGGGCAGAAATGACAGTAATTTCTGAAGTGAAGTTATCAAAACAAAACAGGCTTCTGGGGCTGGAGAGATGGCTCAGAGGTTAAGAGCACTGGCTGCTCTTCCAGAGGTCCTGCGTTCAATTCCCTGCAACCACATGGTGCCTCATCTATAATGAGATCTGGTGCCCTCTTCTGCCGTGCAGGCATACATAGAGGCACAACACTGTATACATAATAAATGAATAAATCTTTAAACAAACAAACAAACGAACAGAAGACCAGGCTTCCTCCTTTCTCTGTCTTGGATCACTAAGTCCGAGTTCACCAACCGCCATGTTGGGAGCCTTCTCAGCTGACCTGAGATAAACCAGCCCAGGTGGTTTAGAACTGGTCTCCTGCCCGTGGCTGCAAGGGTGGCCAGGTGACCAGGCTGTCCAGCTTTAGTCAGGCCTTTAGATTAGACTGCCACCCGGCTGGCACCGCGCCTAGAAGTTTGAGAGACTCTACACCAAAAACTTCCTCACATGAAAGACACCAAAAAAGACTAGTGACTTCCTCACCTGATCCGATCGTCAGTCTTGCTTGTCCACTTGACAGGACTCAGAATCTGAATGGAAACTAACCTTTGGGTGTGTCTGTGAGGGAGCCTCTAGACTGGGTTCACAGAGGTGGGAAGCCCCATACCAACCGCGATCCCAGATTATAGAAAAAGAAATCACGTGACCATCCACCTCACATTCCTGCCGCTGGTCTTGAGCTACAGCAAACCCACCCTGCCTGGCGTTTCTTTTCGTCAGATATTTATCACAGCACAGGGAAAGGTAACTCCCCAGCAGCGAGAAACTAACGCATGCACAGAAACTGTGTAGAGACAAACACTGGTTTCAAGCTGTAGCTTGGGGATATTCGTGACAACCAGGCCTGTCACACCTCGGTTTGACTCCTTGAGCAAACTGCTCCTCCTGTCTCTCACCAGTGTCTGATGGACCCACGATCCTTGCAGAAGCCACCCTGGCAAGGCCACCAGCAAGGGCGCCGCCTACCTGACTTGTCGTGCACGATGGAAAAGAGGATGCGCTTGGAAGCGTGGACGTTCTGGAGGAGAGGCCCCGCCGGCCCCGCGGGCTTCTGTCCTGAACAAGGGGGAAAGACAGGCATACATTCTGGGGGTGTTGGGGGAGGCCAGGTCCCTAACTGCAGCTCTCTACGTCATCACAGCGAGCTGCCACCTTTCCTTTTCTCATTCTTTTAATTACATCTATTAATTAAAGATCAGAGGACAACTTGTAAGAGGCGTTCCTGGAGTTGAACTGAGGTCCCTGGGCTTGGTGACAAATGCCTTTAGCCAGGCCATATACCCCAACACCCGAATTGAGAACGTCAGCCTCAGAAATCTTGCATCAGACATGCATGTACACACGGCACGTGTGTGGAGGTCAGAGGACAACTTGTGGGATTCACTTTCCTCCTTCCACCACATGGGTCTGGGAGACTGAACTCAGGTCGTCATGCTGGTTGGCTGGTACTGAACCATGTCATCATCCCTGATTAATTTAAAATCTCCACAGCCTCCTTAGGGGTCTCCCCAGCTGCCTCTCAATCCCATCCAATGTCTGCTCAGGAGGTCAAGTGGAGGCCCAAGTTTAATCGGGTGCATTACCCCACCCCTCCCTAGAAATGCCTCCTCCTCACAGGCCACCACCCAGAGAGGCCCCCACTGAAGCATTACCACAGCAGTCGGCGAAGTCCTGGGCACTGGGGGCTTGGGGCTCAGGCACAGGCCAGCCCAAGCCCAAGTCACTGGGGGTCAGTGGGCAGGTGGGTGCCTCCTGCTTGAGCTCCCGGATGGCGTGGTTAGGCATCGAGGCGCTGTACAGGAAGTTGGCCATGGAGGAAGGGGTGGCAGTGGGGGGCAGGTCCTGGGGAACGGCCTTGGAGGCTTGGCCATGCAGACTGCAGTCTCGGGGCCCCTTAGGCAGCAGGGAGACGCCGTTCATCTCCACCAGCGGCTTTGAGTCCCGCCCACCATCCTCCGGAGGCCTGGTGAGAGGACAGGGGGACAGCCCTGAGCACCTGCTCTTGCCTGTCAGTCTCTCCCCAAACAGCCCATGTAACTGTACAGAATACTACACAGCTTGTCTTTTGCTTTTGAGACACTGTCTTCCTATGCAGTCCTGCCTGGCCTGGAATTGGGATCCGCCGGCCTCTTCTCTCGAGAGGGAGCATAAGGCGTGCCCCATCACACCTTACAAGTCTTCACTGTCAATTTGGCACTGTCTAGAGTCCCTTGGGAAGAGAGTCTCAGAGAGGGCTGTAGATTAGAATAGCCTGTGGGCACGTCAATAAGGGGAGGGCAGCCCACCATGGGAGGCATTATTCCCTAGGCAGGAGATTCCGAGTCTTCTAAGAGTAGAGAAAGCAAGCTGAGGACTGGCCCCGAGTTCATCGCTTTTGGCTCCTGACTGTGGATGTAATGTGACTAGCTGTTTCAAATTCCTGTTGACTTGGCCTCCCTGGAGTGATGGACTGTAACCTGGGATTACAAGCCAAATAAACCCTTTCTCCCTTAATGGGCTTTTGTCTGGGTATTTTTAACACAGGCAAAAGGAAATGAAAGTAGGACAGGGGCTTACTCACCTCCTGAGCTTAAACCGTATTCGGTGGCTGTGCTCCAAAATGGCCATGAGCGCCTTGGGGTCATACTCCGCTGGCCGCCGGAAGGCCAGGCCCTCGGGCAAGCCCTGCACCGCCAGTAGCCCTGGCTCCCTGAGCAGCCTCTCATAGGGCAAAGGTACAACGGTGGCCCTGCCCAAAGCCTCACCTGTCAGAGAGGGAACAGTGAGGCTCAGTGCTGGCTGTGGCCTGGCGAGGCCCACTGGGAGCCAGGCAATGTGAGGTGACTCCCCTCAGAGAGGAGCTCCGAGACCCTCACTGCTGCAGACACACATACGGTATAGAATGGACGGCACCAGTCAGTAGATGGACCCCACTGTACATCTGAGGGCTGGTGGAGGAGTCAGGAAGGCCCATCGCCACGCCGGTGGCAGCAGGCTGAGTTTTAACCTCAGGCTTATCTTTGGGGAAGATAGCCATGGTCCCCAAATAACCAGGAGGCAGAAGGGACAGTCTGTTGGAAGACCATGTGAGTGGGGGTGGGGAGGTGGTCAAGAGGTAGCTGTACAGGAAACAGGGACACTCACGCCTGGGAATTGAGGGCTGGGAAAGGGCCAGAGTGGGGAGAGCCATGTATGGGGGGGGGGGTCTTGTTTTGCTCAGAGACCCACAGTGCAGAAGCACGGGCCTGCCCTACTGGGTGAGATGGGGAAAGGCCAGGCTGTGTGGGCCTGGGCAGATGTGAGCAGGGCTGGGTGGGGTAAGGGCAGGGCTGCCCTGGTAAGGCATTGCTGGGCAGGGGTAAGCAGCAGGGCATGGCTGAAACGGGGGGAATGGGGCAGACAGGACTTCCCTGGGTGGGGCTGGGGAATCGGACAGGACCAGGCTATCAGGGCTAGACTGAGCAGGGCTGGCCTGACACGGACAGAACAAGTGGGCTTGGATTAGAGTATGGCCGTGTGGGGGTGGGTTGAGGTGGGCTGGGCTGAGGTTGGTGCAGTAAGGATATGCAGGGTGGGTAGGCGGGGCTGAGCCTTGTGGTGTGTGGCTGGCGTAAGCAATGGGCATTGGTGGGCTACGCGGGGGGGGGGGGGGGGGGGGGGGGAAGGGGTAGACTGAGGTGGGCAAGGCTTCAGGGTTGAGCTGGGAAGGGCGCGGCCAGACAGGAGAGGCTGAGTTGTGTGGGGCTGGGTGTAGCAGGGATGGTCTGAGGCAGGTGAGGCCAAGTAGGATTTGGCAGGGAAAGCCTGGGCTGAAGTGGATGAATAAGGCTGAGCAGGGATGGGTAGGGCAGAGCTGAGGCGGACAGAGCTAACTCAGTTAGGTCCCGCAGAGACTGGCGGAGCAGGCGGGGCTACAGACACAGAGCTTGACGAGGCAGGGCCACGGTGGGCGTGGCTAGGCTGGGAGGGCATAGGATGACCTCACGGGGCGAGGCTGGGCTGACGGGGATATGCTGGGACTGGGCTAGCAGGAGAGCCTGGGTCGGGCACCAGCGGGCAGGGCAAGGCAGAAATGAGTGGAGTTGGACTGAGGTGGGTAGAATGAGGCTGGTCTGAGGTGGGCGGGGAAAACAGGGCTGAAGTGGGTGGAGCTAACCAGGATACCATGTAGTTGGGGTGGGCGGGGCTAACCAGGGTGGAGTAGGGCTGGACTGAGGTGCTGGGCTGAGGTGCGTAGGGCGCGCGGCTGGGCTGATGGGCAGGGTGGAGATACAGTGGGTGGGACAGAGCTGGACCTGACTAAAGTAGACAGGGCTGGTGTGGGCAGGCTGGTCTCCCACCCACCCCTTTCCAGGAATGGAATGAGGAAGGATCTTACTATAAAGAACATCAAACACTTCCTCTACCATCTTCTGCAGCAGGTACACATCCGAGCACTGTTCCAGCGAGGACCGCGGGATGCTCCGGCCACCTCCTTCGCAGCGCTGCACCTTTTTAGGGTGTCCTGCTTCTGGATCCTTCCATAGGGGTCCCCCTGTGGGGCAAGAGCACATGGGCCAGAGGTTGGTGTCAAGCCCCAGAATCGGAGGCACAGTGAATGAATGAATGAATGAATGAATGAATGAATGAATGAATGAATAACCTGCTGAGGACCAGCAAAGGCTGCAGGTCTCTATCTGGCCGCATTCGACCTTAGGGTTGTCCTTTCCCTCTTGGGACCTAAGTCTACGATCACTCAGAGAAAACCGGCAGCTCTGGATTAGAACTCGGACCCCACACACCCCGTTCTACATGCATCCCAACCTACTCTACTCCAACCCACCTACGCCCTAGCTTCCTGCCTGAGCAACACTGAAAACAATTCGGACACGGTGATGGTTAGTTTTCAATGTCGGCGTGCCACAACCTGTGAAGGACCTAGATCGGTGGCGGTTCTCAACCTGTGGGCCTCAGACCCTCCCTTTTGAGGGGATCTCTCCTAAGACCATCTGAAAACAGAAATTTACATTATGGTTCAGAACAGTAGCAAAATTAGTCATGAAGTGGCAACAGAACTAACGTTATGGCTGGGGGTGAGCACAACCACGAAGGGTCAGCGCATTAGGTTGAGAAGCTCTGCCCTAGATCAGCTGGCCTGTGGGCTGTGGGCAGGGAGCCGTCCTGTTAACTGATTCAGCCCACCGTGGGCGGCTCTGCTCTCTAGGCTTCTGAGCTCTATGAAACAAGAACGCTAGAAGAGAGTGAGCAGCTCTCTGCTCTTGACTGTGCGTGTGATGGGACTAGTTGCTTGAGGTCCTCCGGGGATCATCCTCATTCAAACCACTAAAAAGGATAGCCTCCACAGAGTGCGTGGTCCAAGGCCAGGACTCCAGCTCTCAGACCCTTGCTCTTTCAAAGTCAAGGAGACAGATCCAGGGGGTAGACGTGGATGCCAGGGGTCTCCGTGGCCAGCCCGGCTCAGCTGTTGACAGTTTTGTTAGTAGTTTTCATGGCTGCCTGGGCCTTGTCCCCAGGATTAGCCATCCCAGACTAACTCAGCACTGCACGTAGCGTTAGGAGGGTTTACAGCGTGGGTACAGAGCTGCTTCTCTGAGGGCCGGAAGTCTACCTGTTCTGTTCTCCCAACCTGGACACTGCCTTCCCCCCCTTCCATCCCCAGGAAGTGGAGGCAAGGGAACCAGGGCGTCAAGGATAGCCTGGGCTAGAGGAGAAACTGCCTTAAAACAAAAACAGGCAGGCGGTCAGCAAGGTGGCTCAACAGGTGAAGAAGCTTGCTGTCAAGCCTGAAGACCTGAGTTCAATTCCAAGTGGCGGAAAAGAAAACTGACTGTAGCATAGCAAGTCTTCCGATGTCTGTATGCATGCCAGAGCATCGCATGCTCATATAAATAAATTATAACTTAAACAAACAAACAAACAACAATGAAGTAGGCCTTTAGCTGAAGGTGTGGTTCAGTACCAGTGTGCTTGCTTAATAAGCATGAGGTTCCAGGTTCTATCCTCAGCACCATCAAAACAACTGAGTAGAATTAGAATTGGATAACTGCACTGGGCCTCGGTGGGCCCCTATAAAAATGGGCGCATTAATGTGGCCAGCTATGGGGCTCAGCGACAGGAGCTGCTGGACAGTTCTAACAGGCTCCATTTGAACAACCCCGTGTGTACCCAGTTCATCCCTCCACCGGGTTGTTTGGGCTGGACAAAGCAGGGGAACAGGGATGGGTGAGGATCCTGGGTGTGGGGACCATGGAAAGGGCAGGACCTTGGGTGTGGGGACCGTGGGGTACTCACGGCAGAACCTGAGGAAGTCTGACTGGAGCTCCTTCCGAGCGCTCAAGAACATCCTCCCCTTCTCAGTGCCCATCACGAAGACGCTCTCATTGTGTATCGCCACGCAGGCCACCTCCGTGTTCAGCTTGGAGAGCGCAGAACACTGTGGGAGAGGGGCGGGTGTGTGAGCTAAATCAAGACCAGCCCGGAGCCTGGCATGGCAAACCATAACTCAGGAGGCTGAGACGGGGGATAAAGCATTTCAAGCCAGCTACAGAGACGGGCTACTGATGGGAGATGAGCCCTCCGGCTCCACTTGGTCACGTCGTGCTGGGTAACAGCCCTCTCTAAACTATAAGACCAGCATCATGTAGCCTGCTACTGGAGAATGTGACAGCAGAACTTCAACATCCTGGTTACAGACAAAGAACCTCTACAGGCAGGGCTGTCAAGATGGCTCGGTGGATAAACTGCTTGTCTTCCAAGCACAAGACCTAGTTTGATTCCCAGCACTCACGTGAGAAGGGCTGGGGTTGAAGTCGGGGAGGGCTGCTTGCAGTAAAGCATTTGCCACAGAAGCGTAAAGGCCAGCGTTCGGATCCCCAGCACCTACAGAAAAGCTTCGTGACTGCCGCAGGCCTCCTAATCCGTCAGCTGAGGTGTGTGAGCAGGGGCTCCTGGGAGCAAGCTGGCTAGCTAGACTAGTCCAGCTGGCAAGGTCTGGGTTCAAGGACAACGTCCGCCTCGGTATATAAAAGAGCGACAGAGGAAGACACGGGACGTCAACCTCTGGCCTCTACACACACCATAATAAGGTAGAGTCATGTGTACGCACATGCATGCACAAGCCATGTATGTTGGCACACACCTGGAATCCCAGCACTGGGGACGCTGAGACAGGAGAGCCCACAGGGCTTTCTGGCTTTCAGTCTAGTCTACTTGATGAGTTCAGGGCAGTGTGAGATCCTGTCTCAAAGCTAAAACCAGGTGACCTTGAGCCACTCTCAGCGTGCCTGGCCCCTGAGCTCAGAGGCTAAGCAGGGCTGGGCTACTTAGAACGGGGATGGGAGACGGCTTGTAAATACTAGGGGTTGTGCGCTTAGCCGGCACGCTGGCTCACACCTGAAGTCTGTAATCAGGAAGGCTGAGGCAGGAGGGCTGCCATGAGTTTGAGGCAAGCCTGGGCTACACAATGAATTCCAGGTCAGCCTGAACTACAGAGTGAGATCCTGCCTCCAACAAACAAGGCAAAAATAAAACGAGATAAAGTGAAATCAAGGTGAACGACCCCTGAAGAATAACGAAACCCAAGGTGGAGTCGTGGCCTCTACATGTGTGAATGCAATACACGCACCCTCACATACAGGATGCATGTACAGAAAACGCACACCGCCCACCCCAAACACAGAATTCTGGGTGGCTACGCCAGACTGGCTTAGACTTGGGGCCCCAAGTAATAACCGAGACTACAGTATGTAGCTCCTCGGAAGCAAAGCCCTGTCTGTAAACACTGTGGCACACAGTTGGCACTTAATAAATGCTGCTTTGGGCTCTGCAATTAGGAGCACAGTTAGGAGCTGTCTGCTCTTCCAGAGGACCTGGGTTCAATTCTCAGCACCCACATGGCAGCTCACAACTGTAACTCCAGCTCCAGGGGAATCAATACTGTCATACCTGTCGGCAAAATATCAGGGCACACAAAATATAAAGAAACAAACAAATAATGTGTGCTGGTCTTGAGCCAGGTGTGGTAATGGACGCCTCAAGAGGCAGAAGTAGGAGGATCTCTAAGTTCAAGGCCAGCCTGGTCAACAAAGTGAGTTCCAGGACAGCCAGGGCTACACAGAAACCCTGCCTCCAGAACCAAAACAATAAAATAAATGAATGCTGGCCTTTATGCCAACTAGCATTTTAAAGAGTTCTGTGTGTGTGTGACCCTAGGGCAGGTTCCTCAACTTCTCTGAGCCACAATCCCAGCTCTTGAGCCAGCCTTAGCCAAACAGGAGAGCCCGGGGAGGACCACCATGGCTTTCAAGACTGCCTACAGGGTGAGAGATGGATTCCAAACAACAAAATACACAGAGCCACATTTGGCCAGTGGCGCTGTCCATCAGGACACATCAGCCACACCCACCATGGCCGGCAGGCTGGAGAGGTCCAGGATACATGTGGTTCAGAGCTATCTAGAAAGAGGGGTCTCTGTGTTTAGGAGACCACTGACTCGGTACTTGGTCATGCTGTGTGACCTCAAGCAAGATGTTGCCTTCTCCGAGCTTCTGCTTTATCACCCTAAAGTGCCAACGGATGCCAGGCAGATCTCACTTCTGCGTGAGCTGCTGGGATTCGAACCCAAAGCCTACACCATGTTAAACACTTGCTTTGTATCAGTGAGCTCAAGCCTGTCCTTTCAGGGTTTTTCACTGTAGCCCAGGCTGGTCTCGAACTCAAGATTTTCCTACTGCAACCTCCTGACTGTGCAATCCCAGGCATGTGTATGTATGTATGTAGGTCTGAATCTTGGGGTCTATACACAAGCGTGCATTTGTGTGGAGGGCAGCTGTTGTTCCTCAGCTTGTTTGGCAAGCCTCCTTAACACTGGAATTACAAGCCAGGTGATAGTGGCACACACCTTCAATCCCAGCACTTGGGAGGCAGAGGCAGGGGGATCTGAGTTTGAGGCCAGCCTGCTCTACACAGTGAGTTCTATGACACAGAGAAAACTTGTTCCGAAAAAACAGAAACAATCAAAACAAAACAAAACCACCGGATTGCAAGCATATGCCAGCAGGCTGCTTTTTTATCTGGATCCTGGGGCATTGAACTGGGGTCCTTGCGGTTGTAGGGTAAGCACTTTACCACTTGAGCTCTATCTCCAAGCCCCAACAACAAGAGATTTTGATGGGCATAACCTCTCAGGTCTCCCAACTCTTCCCACCTGGCCAGACACTCACCATGGAGTCTAAGGCGGACACCAAGCTGTTGATGAGCTCGTCCTTGTGGGCAAAGCAGCCGTTGGTGGGGATGTCACAGTGCTTCCCCAGCAAGGCCATGGTCACCTAGAGAGAACAACGAGGACACAGTGGGTACTAGACACAAGGTACAAAAGGGTAGGCACATCTGGCTTCCAGGGTCACCTGGACTTCACAAGTGGGGCAGAATGCCAGTGGGCCTTTCTTCCCATCACTCAAGGGCCACAAAAGTATAATAGGGGTTTCAGCCTTCACAAGCCAGAACACAGCAGCGACTGCAGAAACCTGCAGAGAACTAAGTGATTCATGTATACCTATTTTCTCCTATTTGAAACATTCTCAGAGGACCTAAACATTCTCTCCTAGAGGGAGGTTCCTGAGACTCAAAGACAAAGCAACTTACATAACTCAGGAAGCTCAAGAAACTCATAAGGCTCAGGAAGTTCAGGAAATTCATAAGGCTCAGGAAGCTTACAAGACCCAGGAAACTCAGAAACTTACAAAGCTCAGAAAGCTCAAAGAGTTGTAAGATTCACAAGGCCCCTCCCCATGTTTACAAATGTAGAGAGCAATTGTATGGCTGGGAACGAGGCAGGGATATGGAACCCTCTTCTATAGCATGGTCTGCAGCTCATGTAGAGCTCCAGAGATGTAACTTTTTGTGAGATGTAATTTAATGTCACCCTCATTATGGCAGGTAACCCTCACTCATTGTGGTGGTTTCGATGAGAACGGCCCTCAAGGGCCCACGTTGGAGAGTTGTTTGGGAAGGATTAGGAGGTGTGGTCTTGTTGGAGGGGGTGTGGCCTTACTAAAGAACGTATGCCACTTGGCTTTGATGCTTCAAAAGCCCATGCCAGGCCGTGTAGCTTTCTACCTGCGCATCAGGGTTTAAAGCTCTCAGTTTCTATTCCAGAGCCATGCCATGAAGACCATGAACTAACTAATCCTCTAAAACTGTAAGCAAGTCCTCAATTAAATATGTTTTTTTCCTGTAAGTTGTCTTGGCCATGGCTTCTCCTCACAGCAATATAACAACAGTAACTAAGACACCCGCTCACTCATTCACCAAGCTAGCCTCTGATAGAATTCTTTCTTCAGTCTGCGCTTGGTGCCTCCTGATGCAGACATTTGCTCGTGTCTCTCCATGAAAACACATACAACAGCAAACACTGTTGTTTTTAAACAACAATCCCAAATGTTCGATTTTACCAATAAAGACTCAGGAGCCAGGTGCTGAGGGGAAAGCCTGCTAGCTCAGAGAGGCAGAGAAAGCACCCAGCTGACCTTCCGATTCTGGATATCCCAGAAGGAAAAAGCCCTTTCTCCTGCTCCACACTGTCTTAAAACCCTTCAAATTCAATATCTCTCCCTTCTACTTCCTGTGTGTCTCTCTATATATCCTTCAGACTTCCTCCCACTCTCTATGGTTTTGTCCTATGTCCCCTCCCTGCCAACTGGTTGCTTGCTCCGCCTCTTAACTTATAGTTGACTTTATTTAATTCTGTTTACAAAAAGCTCTTGGATTAAAGGTGTGTGCTAAGGCTTGAATCACACCACAACTACCTGTTTAAATAAACAAAGTTCTTGGATTAAAGGTGTGTGCTAGGGCTGAACCACACCACAACTAGAAACCGGTTTTTCCAGCACACAATCTCGAGGTTCCCAGTGTGATCAAACATCCTACAACACAACGTAGCTGAGGGTTGTGGACCAAAGGGCAGTCCCCCAGGTCCCTCAAAAAGTGGGCCCACACCATGCTACTAGTCTTCCAGACTCATCCTCACTACCGGTATTCTCACAGCCCTCTCCTGCTCACACACCTCCACGGCTCTCTACTGACCACACATTTTGAACAAGGCCTTACTTTGTAGCTTGGGCTGCTTGAATTCTAGATCCTCACTCCTTCCACCTGTCAAGTACTGAGATTACTGGCCTAGGTCCATATCCCTGTAACCACCACTCCTGGAAAGGCACCTGGCTGCCTCGCCCACGGCTTACCCGGCCTTCACCCTCCTCAGTTCTGTACACATCTCTGGGCTTGATCACAGGCTCCCAGATCAAGGCCACTGCCTGAAGCCTGATCCGTTTCCTGGATGTGGAACATGAACGTGAAGCAGGTGCAAACAGTCATACAGGGCACAGGGCACAGGGCACAGGGCACTTCCTCAAACTAGGGATTCCCCAAGAAAGGACTTTGTTCCAACTTACTAAGGCTGCTCGGAGCTCCTCCTTTAAAGGCTTCTTTGGCTTGCAAGGACAAAGTTGTGGATTTGTGGATTGCTGCTGGCTGGCTTAAACCTATCCTTCCAGAACTGTCCCTATCCATGGGAGTGAGGGGATTCCACGTACTGCCTCTGAGAGCACCAGCCCCTCACTAGCCCAAGCAAAAAAAAAAAAAAAAAAAAAAAGGCAAGGGGCAGGACACTCTCTGGGCTTATTCTCCAGGGCCCTAAGGCCCCTGGCTGGGTGTGTCACCCATGGATAGATCTGTGGATTCCACACCCTGTTTGCCACCTGTCTGCCACCTGTCAGCAAGGATTCTAGAGGCTCAGAGGGTGGGGTAGGGAACAGGCAGGTGGCGAGGCCTCCAAGCCCACAGCCTAAGAGGTCACCAAGTAGGATGTTTACTGCCTTTACAACTGACTGCCAGACTGTAAACTTTGAAAGGGCCAAACTGTGTCTGCCCACCATGGCTGTCCCTCAGGGCCCAACTCATTGTCCAGCATCGGGCCAGGCATGGACTCCCAAACAGCCTCCAAGCCTGGCTTGAGTGTGCTGGGAACCTCAAGACAGCAGAAGGTGCTATAAGGTACCATATGGAATAAGAACAGTTCTGGATCCAGAGCAGGCTTCGATCTACTCTTGGGCTACAGGAAAAAACTGCCTGTAGGGCCAGTGAATTGGCTCAGAGGGTAAATGCATTTGCTGAGAACTTGAGTTTGATCCCCTTGGACCCACATGGCAGGAGGAGAGAACTGACTCTTGCAAGGTTTTCTCTAACCTCCACAGATGTGTAGTGGCGTGTGCACACAAATACATACATATACCAAAATAAATTAGTAAAAAAAAAAAAATGCAGAAAGAAATAAAATAAATGGTTTTAGCAATGCCTGCTGGCCCACCCTGTTAGCTTCTCAGATGGCCAAGGCAGGCGTGCATAACTCAAGTTCAAGGACAACCTGGGCTACAGAATGAATTCAAGCCATCCTGAGAAACTTAATGAAATTCTGTCTTCGGTAACAACAAAAGATTTAAAAACAGGATGTGTGTATGGCTCAGCCAGAGACCACCACTTGCCTAGAATCCCCCAGTGAGGGGCTTGGGGTGTGGCTCAGTGGTAGAGTTCCTGCCTAGAATGCCCCAGTGAGGGACTAGAGAGTGTGGCTTAGTGGTAGAGCGCCTGCCTAGAATTCCCCAGTGAGGGGTTGGGGGTAATAGTTCTACATTAAAGCACCTGCCAGGCAAGTTCAAAGCCCTGAATTCCATTCCCAGCACCACAAAAATAAGTTAATAACTCAACAAATAAGCAAATCCAGGTGGTACACAACTATAATTCTAAGCATTTGGGAAACAGAGGCAGGATGATAGGGAATTCAAAGACATCATCGGCTACATTGTGTGCTTGTGAGACCACGTCTCAAAACAAGTAACAATGAACATTTAAAAAAATTGCCAGGTGCTTTAAAAACAAAACAAAACAAACAAAAAACCCAGCCAGGTGTCATGGGGCACAACTTTAGCTGGCCAGCAAGAAGCAGGGCAGATCTCTATGTGTTCAGGGCCAACCTGGTCTACATAACAAGTTCTAGGACAGCCAGGGCTCCATAGTAAGAGTGTCTCAAGAAAAGAATGAAAAATCTGTATCATTAAGAGACATCAAGTGTACATCAGACTACTCAACAATACGACGATCTATGGACAAGATTCCTGGAAAAGGCTGCTGGTGGCTTTGTCCTGGCTGTTCTGGGGCCCTAGGTCACCCCCTCAGGAAGGGCTGAGGAGGAGGAAGTTCTGCTGGATAACTGTACACACTCCTAGCCAAGAGGTCTGTCTGCCTAGGAGCCTGAGGATTCTTGCACAGCCAAGCCCTACAGCCATGACGCCAGCTACTCCTTTGAGCCCTTGGGCCGTTCCCAGAAAAACTCTGGGTCGGCAGCGTCCCAGCTTCCCAGACCCAAATCAAACCCGGGCCAGGCAAGCAGCAGTAGCTGGCACTCCTGACCTCCAGCTCGCTCCAGACTGCCCTGACTCCTTCTGGCCAAGGTCCTAATCTGCTTCGGAGAGAACCAAGGACTCCAAGCCAGAGGACTGCGGAGACGGGAGAGAGCTGAGCTGCAGGCTATCCTAAATCCTGGTCCAGTCAGCCAGGCGTAGAGGACCCCCCGACTCCAGCAGGGTCCAGGTGAGGCTCTTGGGAAGTTGCCTGCTGTATGTGGAGCCAAGAGGAGCCCCCGGCCCCGGCATGTTAGGAGCACGTAAGTGTAAGTGTATTCATCAGGAAAAGCAGGGCCAATGTAAGGAGAAAAACAGGGCTGGCAGGACGGCCTGGTGGGCGAAGGCACCTGCCACGGCCTAGGACTCCAAGCAACTCCTTCAAGTTGCCCTCTGACCTTCCATGGCATGTGTGCACGCACGGGTGCGCGCGCGCACACACACACACACACACACACACACACGCACTAAACACTAGATTAAAAAACAGTTTTTAAATCAATAAATAACCTAGGTAAAAGTAAAAATTCTTTTTTTAACTTAGTGTAACAGGGAATGTGAAATATGATAAGCAGTTAAGCCCCCAGGGGCTGGGCAGGAGGGGACCAGTAGAAGGGAGGCCCCAGCCAGAACAATTATAGTAGGATGCCCGAAGAAGCCCGCCGTGGTGGCCTGTGTCTATAATCCTAGCACCCAGGCGGCTACGACGGAACTGTGAGTTCCAGGTTCCCCTTGGCTACACAGTGAGAGTGAATCTCAGAAAACAAGACCAAGACAAGATGGCTCCACTGTTGTGGTATCTGTGCTTGCCACCAAGGCTGACTATCCCAGTGGAATCCCCAGGACTCGACCTGGGGGAAAGAGAGAACTGA